ATACATTTCATCAAACCCGCCAACAACCATGAGCCCTTTAATGAAAACCGCCACCAGTCCCAATATCAAGATGCCAGATTGAATAACGTCTGTCCATATGACCGCTTTCATTCCTCCCTATTACAGAACACAGCCTTGAGGATAATTTTAGGACGCGTTCAAAAAAAAGAAATAGTTTTTTTTTAACCAAAAAATATAACAGTAACGGTTTAAAATACAGAGCAATATTTAAAATATTTTAATTAGTTTGCTGTAAGATTGTCTACCTACCAATGTTGTATACACTGTACATATTACTCCAGTTAAAATGATACTCGATGCCATTGATAGAGGTGTCACAGCGTTCAGAGCCACGGCAGGCATGTACACAACAGTTCCGACGTAAAATAGCTAAAATATATAATGTACTTTGTCACGAACCATTTGATGCCGTGAAAAAATAAAAATTTGATTTTTCTTACCGATCCTAAAGATAAAAGGGCCGATGTTGCTCTCCTCATTGTAGAATTGTAACGCAGTTCCAGGTACTTGAAATAATATTTTCAAATAGTTGAAATAATGTATATATCGTATATGTTCAAGGTAATATATATCCTTATTATAGCTGTATCGTAACGATGTCAGAATCTGATCAAACCATGGGCAATTTAATGTTGCGTCATTACAGTCGATGATAGAAAAATAATTTTAAAAAATGTCAAGTTTCTTTAATATTTTTTGTCCAACTTTTTTGGTTTTGCTACTTTTTGTTACTTTCTTGTTTTAAGTTCCTTTAAATTGGCTGATATATTGTAATCCCTAATATTATACCAATATGTAAGTATTTGTGAAAAAGGTAAACTGTATCTAGTTGTAAGCGATGATATAACGGTATTAAATACAGAAGAACGATTGGGACAGCCAGAATTCGCGTAATTGGTTCCCACATCATGAGAGTCCCGGATATATAGGTTTCGGCGGGAGCTGCAATCACAACAATGGCTGATTGGAATGTCACAGCAAGTGAGAGGCCAACAGCAACCTGAAGAGGTTAAAGATTAATTTCAATAAATTTTATATCACAAGAAATGTAGTTTTCATTAATATCCAAAGCACCACAATCAACTTATACTATAAAAATATTCCTTTTGCTTTAAAAACTTTTCTTAAAATTATGTGAATTGAAAATCCTTATTTTGAAGATATTAACTTTGGAGAAAAAATATCTTACCGGATGCATTTGCTTTCCCCCGAAAAAGTAATTTTTAGTTGTGGCATCGTTTCTATCCTTGTATGCAAAATATACTCCAATAATTGTAGATATTGCCATGAGCACTGAGAAATATATATTTGATAAATCTTACTTATATATAATAATAAAATATTAGGGCATTGACACTTGAACATCGTCTACTACTATACATACACCGCAAAAATTAAATCTAATCTCGAAGCGATATATATATATATACATTTTCTATATGATGTTCAATGTACATCTATCCAAAGATTTTGATTTTTCTGTGTACTTCGACTTCCATAACCTAAGCGGAATATCGTTTCACTTTTGCGTATTTCTATATATTCATACGTTTAATAACAATGTGGAATTTTTTTTTTTTTAAACCCAATATACTCACGGACAAACGACAAATAATCTGCCACTCCAAGATCTTTTCGTATTGATTCTGGATCCATTTCAATTGGAAATCGACAAAAAAAACTAAATAGCGTCTTTTGATATATATACTATTGAAAAAGGGAGTAATATGTTGACACAGATAATATATTTAACATGATCTCCTAAATCAGCATCGTAGGTTCGAAATATTATGCTATGACATTTTCTGAAGTTTCAAATGTCTGTCCGCGCATTTCTTTCCTGTAAATTGATAGCAAACATCAAAAGATTTCGCGCATCCGGGATACAGCTCTCATTTACTTCTGCTAACATTATTCGGGCTTTTATGTTGGAATAATTGGGATGCAATGCAATAATATCTTTCGTCGCATTTTCCTGCACACCTGACTAATCCATCACTAATCTGACGATAATCCCAGATGGAATATGTGACCCCAATATTACTAAAAGTTTTATATTGGAATTCAGCAAAAATATTCATTCGATTGGTCAATATAAAAATGTGAACTATTCAGTCTTATTTTAACCAAACACTAAATCAGGCAAAATGACGAATGTTAATGCAAATCCCTCGTGTCATACAGAGCCCACACCATAGCCCACATCAATATAACAATGCCAGAATTTTCATTTACTGCGTCTAATCCTTAATTAGTTAATTGCCTACTTCAAGATTGCATTCGGTTTAATATTGTTATTAAGAAATATATACACAAGGATTTGCGTCTCAAAAACTTTTAGGCTGCATAACGTCAGTAACCAGTATTCAAGGAGTTTATCGTTTAACACGCCAACCTCACACCATCAGTTTATCTAAAGAGTGGTCCAAGGTTGTCGGCCTCGCGGGCCACATCAATATTTTTGTATTGTTCGCGGGCCACAATAGTGCCTAAAATGAGTAAACAGTGCAATACAAAACAAACACTTCTATTGTCCAAACAGATTGATCATTATTTGTCATTTATCAAGCTAAAACGTACAAAAACCACCAAAAAAACTCACTAAAACCTGCACAAATCTTACTATATCTACACTTGGTGTAAAATTTCAAACTTTTCATAACGGAGAAAATGTCGTTTTAGATTGTCACCGGCACAACTTGCAGACATATTAAGCAAGCATTATGGTATGGTATCCCATATCTATTCAAAAAATCTGTTTGAATTGGTCAGTATTCTTTTCAAACTCGTGTTTACAAAATAACTTACAAATAACTGCGGATTTGGGATACATGAGAATAATTACTAAATTTCAAAAAAGATCCGGCAGGAATTATATTCAGTTAACATGCATAGTCAACCTAGGCTAATAAATTCTTTATTCTATTTTTAGTTTTCTATGAAGCCTATTTTGTTAGCATATATTCCAGACCAAAAAATTGGAAAGCCAGATAACAATTTAGCACATAAATCAACTTCGCTAGCTGCTTCAGCTAGCCATAACACTACTCAATTCAGTGACATTAAAATATATTTTGGTTATTTTCACGACGAAATAACTCCAGATGCAATTTTTTGTTTACCTTCGCGCAAATGCGTCGCGGCCACAGATAATGACGCGGCGGGTCACATGTGCTCCGCCGGCCTGGGCTTGGACCACCCTGATCTAAAACAAAAACCTCAATCGGTTGCAACGACATTCCGACAGTGTCATCCATTGTCATGCGTTAGACGCGCATTTCTTTCCTGTAAGATGATAGCAAACATAAAATGTCAAACATCACGCCTGCAGGATACAACTCTCATTTACTACTGCTTGTTATTATTCGGACTTTTTGTTTGAATAATTGGGATGCAATGCAATAATATCTTTCGTCGCATTTTCCTGCAGACTTGACTAACCATCACTAATCTGACGATAATCCCATATGGAACATGTGACCCCAATATTACTAGAAGTCTTATATTGGTATTCAGCAAAAATATTCATTCGGCCGTCAATATAAAATTCTGTCTATATATTTTTTGCGAGGATCGGAGATTAGGATTCCGCATGCTGGAGGATAATCAAACGCATTGCTCTTTCGCTTATGATCGCACAAATGAAACGTTAAACAAGCTTGCTTTTCATGTCTAACTTGAAGAGTAACATGAACAAGAGGCTTGCTTATTTCCCATACCAGTGATAAACACAAGAGCTCTTCATACTATTTAAATAAAATTCGTCATAAGTAATTTGACTAATTTGTAAATGTGGTTTTGGCTGAACTCACTTATAGAACTACAGTTGGACCAGCATATTTCTATTGCAGCAAGCAAGGGCATTCGCATCTTAAAAAAGAAACTTTGGAAAACTGCGGTGTTAAAATGATTAGTTTCGTCAGTTGTAAAATAACTGTCTGCAAATCCACATAATGAGCTGGGCCAGTAGTATGTGTACCAGGTTAGGGTTAGGCCATAATGTTATTCTAATTTTCTATATTTTAGTTCTCTTACGAGTTCGGGGACTGTCTGTGTTAGTCAAGTGAATATACACCCTGCCCCCTACGTTGGAAATAACGTTATGGGCAAGGCAAGAACAACGTTTCATTTGGTCCATTGATTCACTGACAATATTCAGAAATTGGTATAATATAACTCAATTGAAGTTGGTGCATAAAAAGAAGGCGAACTCTACAGCCTGTTTATAGTGTCAATATTGAATGAAATTTCATCAGAAACCATGTCCTGTTATCGAGTGTTCTCCTATTCTTATTTTGCATAATTTTATTTTTATGTGGATTATCACGCCTGTGAGAAAATATTATTAGTTTTTATTGATCACATTTTAAACAAACGAATCTTCAATTGCTTTCTAGTATATAAGTTAAATCAAATACAATACCAGAGGTTAATGTAGGGTCATTGCGTAACTCACAAATACATATTTGCGTAAGGTAGTGCATAGAATACGCCTCGGTTTGTGCAAATATTCATTTAATAATTTCGCCATTTACATATGCTTCTACGTCAGCTGTAAACTTTTACGTAGTGGGTGTAGCTAGGCGGAGCTTATTTCCCATGCCAACAAGGTGCAATAAAAATTATCGCTGTCTGGACAACACACGTTCAGTACATCTTGTCATTGTGCAAGGACACAACTCCAAGGATTGTCGTAGAATTTTTCGCATTTAGCCAGGTAGTTGATAGAGTTATGCTAATAAACGAGAACGAATTTTGAAGCTATGACTTTCATTATTATTTTATAAATTTGACTTTTAATTATGAGATAGTGATTTTACATTTTAATTGTCTTTGTACATACTAACATCTATAAAATAAACTCGATGGATATATGTTCTTAAAACAAAAGGAAGTACATGTAATCTGCAATAATTTATCGCCTGGTTTTTATACCGCATTTCCTTTTTATTGTTTTTAGTTTCATTTATTAATTCAAAATGAAGTGTACATTGTGGTTGTCTCTATCGCTGTTATTGACATGGAATTCCTATGTAAAAGCCGAAATTTCAAAATCAAGAGTTGTTTTGAAAGATAATAAATATACTGGAATGGTTATTGCTATTAACCCACGAGTACCAGAAAGCAACGATCTGATCGACAAAATAAAGGTAGGGAGGGGGTTTAGGATAGTAGAGCAATAAGAGCATCCAAATGATATTCGATTGAAAACAAAGCTTATGATTTGTTTAGAGTAATTTCAGTTGCTATTCTTCTCCATTAGAAGCAATTACTAAATAGGCTATAGATTTGATTTGTTTGTGCTACTTAGTTCACTTGTTGAATGGTTTGTTTGTATCCAACTCTGAATCTAAACTGGAGATTCGTATTTGCCAAAACGATACATTTTGAATTTAGCTAGACAAAATTGAAGAGATGATGTTGTTTGATTTGATGCCGATTCATTCAATTTATCATCTATACAGCAAGTCCAGTGTTCCCTATATATATCTACTGGCATCTCTGTCAAATGGGAGTTAAACTATGTTTTTGTATTAGTAATCTTTCCACTGACATATGAGCTTCACACCTTGGGTGAGAAAACGTACATGAAGCAAAAACATATTTTTGCGAATATAGCCGACTGTTTGCTAACCTGAAATGTATATCTCTGTCTTGCTTAAACAACTTTTATAAACCAATGCTGCACATTGGATATTTTATCCTGTTATATTAGGGAGGCTTTATGGATAATAACCTTCTAGATTGGCCAAGTATTTGAGTTTAATCATTCACTTTAATATATTAAAATGTCTCAATATATTCCCACGCACGACAATAATGCTATGGGAATGTTTTTGATGTAATTTAAAGTAGTTTAGGTATAAACTTGTCGCGATATACATGTTAATGAATAAGTCTTGTATATTCTGCTTTTGATGGTAATGAATACAAACACACGTAACTATAAAGGCAATGACACGACATACCCTGAACTGAAATGCATATGTTTTGCATTTCACAGAGTTACAAAAGCTTTAATGAGTTTCGCTCTACATCAAGTTTTGAGTTAGGTACCATAAATGTGACGTGGAACAGTGAAAGAAAAAGCGTTCTCACTTACATTCAACGAAGAATATAAATTTTTAAATCGTTCAATTATTTTTAAAAGCAATTTTTGCTTCAGGAATCGTGGATAGAAGCTTCGGAGTCACTTTTTGTTGCAACAAAAAGGCGGGCTTATTTTCGAGAAATAACTATTCTTGTACCGAGTACATGGACTGGTTATATCGAATCAAAGAGAGCAGAGGGAGAAACATATGATGCGGTGAGATATTGCGAAGAGTTCATTTTATGACATATTAAATAAAAAGAAGATCTAGCTCACTGATGAAAAGCTATCGGTGGATTGTATTTTAAAGTACGTTCAATAATGCATACTTCAATGCTCATTTGCCAAAGATGTTTGAACAAATATCACCTCCTATTGTGTGATGAAATTTAAATCTTTCATTTTTATGACAGTGAACACATACGATTCTGTGTTAAAATATCACACTGCACTTATATCTGCCATTTGTATCACTTGGTGTTATTTGTATTCGTGACAAATCTTGCCCACCATGTTGTTTACCTTGAAAGGCGCTCCCGAAGTATGTGCACCAAGATGGCGCACAACCTGAACCTTAATTTGGTACGCATACTATGTTCAGGTTGTGCGCCATCTTAGTGCACATACTTCTGGTGGTCCCCTTGAAATTTGTGAGATTGATTATTTGTAACGCGTTTTAACATTTATATCTCAAAACCTTATATTTACAGTGGAATTAATAAATCATAAGTGAGAACTGGAATCTATACTACCGATACCTAATACAACAACCTAAATTTTTGCCTTTTGTAGGCCGATGTCATCGTTACAAACCCGAATCCAAGCTACGGAGATGCACCTTACACTGTCCAGTATGGCGGGTGTGGATCGCCGGGTTCATACATTCATTTTACACCAAATTATTTTGTCAATGAAGATATGGTTATGAACTTCGGGAAGCGAGGTAAATTCTACATTTCAAGACAATACATGGTTATAATTTTTTGCTTATTATCCTGAATAGTACTTACTTGATTGAATAAATTTTAAGGCTAAAATATGTTAATTCGATATATGTGTTAGGGCATGGAAAATCCCATTGTAACTTGAAATTTAAATTGTTATCTACGCACAATGCATAATTTAAATTATTCTCCAGGAGGGTACTATAAATTACTGAGAAAAAAACATGGCGATATTCAGAAGTAATTGAGTGAAAAACTATAAAAACGTGAATTTTTATTAAAAAATTTTCACATAGAATTTCAAATGTTTTGATAATAAATTTTCAAAACATTAAATTTTGTGAAAAAAACGCACCAGCAAAAATATCATCAAATTTAGGTTTAATATTCACTGCACCTGTATATACCTCAGCAATAATGTTGAAATTTTAATATTGCTTTTATCTGATTTCCAAATTAATGTTCAGGTAAAGTCATTGTTCACGAGTGGGCGCATTACAGATGGGGAGTTTTCGACGAAACAAGTGAATCTGACCCATTTTATGACGATGTTAATGGAAATACTCTTACTGATGTAGAAATGAATGAACCAATAAATTTTGTAACTCAGTGAGTTGCGTTAAGGTCTTGATGAGGTTATAAGAATGTTGTACAAAAGTGTTTCAACAAGCAGTTATTTAGACGTCTCAACTCGTTTAGAATACAGTATATGCAGCTTCATATTAAAAGTTTTTTTCTCAGTTGAAATTCATGCGACAAGTCTTTTAAGTCAACTTAAATCTGGTCGAGTGTTCATAAAAGGTATCACTAAAAATTGTATGTATTGAGACTTAAGATTGCTTAGAATCGCTCGACACTCGTTTGCTATAGTTTTTAGTATATGCTTTGCTTTCCATTCAGGTGTCCGAAAAAGTATCCGGTTTGTTGCACAAATAGTGATAATCAACAAAATTGTCGAACAGGTCGCGCAAGTTGTAGAATTAACAAACAAACTGGTTTATACGACGAAGACTGCCTTTGTTATCCTGGACATTCAGATGGGAAATACGATTCATCGCTCATGTCTTATCAGTATTTGAACGAGGTTTGAAATGATGTTGAATGATTAAGAATATATTGCTCTGTGTAATAAAGATTGATGATAATATAAACTTTTATCTGTACAGATTACACAGTTTTGTGATGCAAATAGTCATAACAGAAACGCACCAAATGATCAAAATAGACTTTGCGATTTAATGAGTGTTTGGGATGTTATGGAAAATTCGATCGATTTTCAAGAGAACAAAAATCCTCCAGCGGGTTCAGTTGAATCATTGCGGCCAATTTTTACAATAAAAATGGCTCAAGAAAGTCAACGATTTGTCTTAGTTCTAGATGTTTCTGGAAGTATGTCTACGGTGGATGGAGATTCAGGCGAAGTAGGTTTTCCGTGTAATTTTGTTTTATCAATTTACTCTGTTCACCCAATTTTCAGCAATTGATTCTTATATTTTCAGTCTCGATTTGATCAAATGCAGAAAGCAGCCAACTACTTTGTTATTAACTCAGTTCCATATGGTTCGCTCGTTGGTATCGTAGAATTTGACCAAAAATCTAGAAAAGACAGTGATTTGATGAAGGTGCAGTCATCAGCAGACCGTGACAGCCTTGCAAACAATTTGCCGAGTGCCGTTGGCAAAGGATGCAACACATGCACTTGCATAGGTTGTGGATTACAAAAGGGAATTGAGGTTTGAATTTGTATTGACTGAGTTAAATCAGAATATATCTTAACATAAGCGATTCACTCGATTATATGACTTTACTAAACCGTCATCGACGTTACATCACAAGAATCCTCAGTACTATATTTGCTAGATTTTTCACTTTATAAAGGGAACTATAATTACTTCAGGTGCTTGAAGCTGGTAATTCTAATCCAGCAGGAGGATACTTACTTGTTATGACAGACGGTAAAGAGACTTCTGGATCGACCCTTTTAATCGAGGAAATTTACGACGAAATTATTGAAAAGGTATTGAATGTAATTGATTCATTCTTACGTGAAAAGCTATGTTCAATATTGGGCCTTTTGTATTCAATTTCAAGTTTTATGAGCAAACAAAGAGCTCACATACACTTACTTTGGCAACTTGGCCATCCGGTAATAATAGCGATATTAACGAATTTTTGACAGAAAATAGTCGTACAGACGTTATTCGTGTTTACCTCAGCGAATCAGATATTAGTTGATCTTTCCATTCAAAGTGGAGGAAGCTGGTTTTTCGCCGGTGGAGACGATTTTCTGGCTCTTGTTGATGCCTACAATGACATGTCTAAAGTCACTGATGGGGATGACAATAAGAGAACATTCCAGGTTACATAAGATGTACTAACTCATCTTTTATCCAAAATACGGTGATAACGTTCCGTGGTAATATTACAGCAATACATCTAAATACAAAATGTTTCCATAGTGCAAGTCTTCATTCATATAACGGTAACTTCTATCCACAAAACTCACCAGCAAAATTATAATTGTTGTTGAGCCACGACTCCGATTTTTTTACTGGTATCTATACACAGCACCGCGTGGCAAGAAAGCTTACAACTTTTCTCAGTTAATTGTTCTACTTTTAATTGAGAAAACTGGCCATCGATTCTTTAAAAATAAATTGCCACTAAACGATCCCGTTACAGTGACGGAAGAAATTAACAAACTGAATTAGTCAGTGTTGAGCCTGGTATGGTGATGGTGATAGTTCGAAAGTCTCCTTCCATAAGACTCAGCTGGTTTATAATAGTCAGTTAAACTACATGATACAAATAATATAGATAAAATATATTTCGTTTTGAAAATTTTTGCAGATATTCAGTGAGTCAGTCAGATTGGAAAGCAGTAATGATAACTTTGGGAACACGATTCCCATTGATAGCACTATCGGTAAAAATACAGTGTTCACTTACACTTGGTCGTATGGGAATGTAGCTCCAAAGGTTTTACTTACTCCACCAAATGGTGTATGTCAATATACAAACGTGAACTCATTTGCTTCAAACCCTTGCACAAATATCGTTCACACAATCAAAAATGAATATAAGACGATGAGGTTTGAGCTCGGAAACGCGGAGGTGAGTTTATAATAAAATAAATATATATCGGGATACACTCATTTTTGACATACAATAGGCAGAAGAATAGGCACATGCTTCTTGTTTGTTCTATAATATACTAGTGCAAGGCTACTCAACTATTTTCATCAAAGATCAGTACAGAAACTTTTAAATTTACAAATGCATCGTTTGACAAAACACAAGAGCAATGCTTAATATCACGCTTCGGTGCCGGTATGACAAGGCTTCTGTTGTGAAGCCGAGCGCGTGAGATGACGCGCGTGTGAAATATATATAAGCTACAAAAACTGGCTAATGTTCACCACCATATCTAAAAATATGTAAAAATGTATCCAAGAAGCCACTAAAACTTCAGTTTTTATACCGGCATTCAAATCGTCTTGATTAGTCACATTAGTGAGTCAATGCTCTGAGAAACTCATATTACAATGACAATTTTTCCACAGCGGTTTAGCAAAAAGCAGCTGCGGTCCAAATTTGGCACTCGAAACTCGAAAGGTCCGGATTTGGACCGTGGTCGGCCAGTCGAGTAGCCCTGTACTAGTCTAACAGAAATGTAAAATATAATCATTTTTTAATTAAACAGTATTTAAAGATGAAGATTTTATTTTTAGTATTTTTTATCCAATCTATAATCTTATATAAACAGTATGGCACATGGTCAAGTTACGTTGAGTTACCAAATGGCAATTCACAAACTGTAACTATAGTAGTTACCTCTCAATCTGCCGGTACTGATGTGGAGCCAATACTTGTGGAGTCAACCCTAAGTTCTGATGGCAGTCAACCACTTGTTTACGCAAAAGTAAGTAAAACGGTCATGTTTTGGCACGATGAATTAAAATACAGTTTTTTTGGGAAAATTGAGCAATATATATCTGAATTACCAGGCTGAAGACATTTTCGTCTGTAGACTGTGTTGAAAGGCGCAACCATTGTCTGATAAAAATAATAAAAAAATGGACATATTTCTCATTTATAGGTCACACAAGGCTTAAACCCAGTTATTGATGCCAGAGTAACGGCAGCTATCGCGTACCCCGATGGAAGCACCGGGACGCCTATACAGCTGTTGGATCGTGGCGCAGGTAATTATGAACTAAAGAAGACCAACATTTGGAACTTTCAAAGGCAACAGGAAATCATATTTAAACACCAGATGTATTTTTTAGATTAATTGAAATTTTTGTTCTTTATATGGAGAAAATTTATCGAACTCATGAATGAAAATCTGAAGTTTTTAGGATTTTAACGACTTTTATGTTTTTTAGCCCCGGATATCCGTGGAAATGACGGAATATATTCAAGATACATAACTGGATTTTCGTCTACTGGGAGATATTCTGTAAAGGTAAAGGTATATTTTTTTTTCAATAAATTGAAATGTATGTCCAAACAAATTATGATAAAAATAGTTTTATTTGTTAGGTGAATGTCGAATCGTCACTTAACAGTAAGACATTGACTCAAATGCAACAGTCAAAGGCAGTTTATAACCGTGGATACGTAGACGAAAACGGTAAGTCTAGGTTGAATTCCGTCAATTGCAAGGTTCATTACAGTGGCTTTAAAACATTTCACTTATGCAGGTAAATTTGTTTCGAATCCGAACGGGAGGACTTTTCTTCCAAAAGACACTCCATTTGGAGTCACAGCTGATTCAATGGGAGCTTTTGCTAGACAAGCTTCTGCTGGCGCTTTTGAACACACGTCGACAGGGTAACTGAACTTTAACTGTCTTTAATAGCTTGAATTAGACAGCATTGATAGGTAAGTTGTGAATTATAATTTCTTTTTTATGTGGATACCTTTTGTATGTAATTTAAATAGATTCTACGTTTTACGTCAAAGTTGTAATAAAATTAATGAATAATTTTTTTTAGTGTTGGAACAGACACCTTGCCACCTAGCAGAATACTAGATTTGAATGCGGCTCAAAGTGATTTTTCTGATTTTTCTGAGTGATTTTGATAGTGGAACAGGTAATATATATATAGACAAGTCAAATATGTTGTTAACAACAATCCAAAACTGCATGTCTATCTCTCTTGCAGCTTTCAACTATGATATTCGTTACACCACCGATACCTCAGATAAATTACTAACAGATTTTGAATCCTGCACGATGGTTAAAAATGTAATTCAAGGAAATATTACCAATCCTTCAGTGGCTGGTACTGTGGAAACTATCGTTGTTGAACCACCAAATGTATCAATGAAAAATAACAAAACAATAAGGTAATATTTTCTGTCATAACTAAGAAGTCTAATCAGATAAAAGTCACTACTGTATAGGCTTCTGAAGAAATAAAGATTTTGTCATTGGACATAAATTGGACCTATGGATAATTTTGCCAAATTGTTTTGTGAATTTGTTGGTAAAAAATCGATTTTCCTTTTGAGGATTATTCACTTTCAATTTATCAGTAGTCGAATATGCAGTGTCTTCTGCAGAAATATATATATATATATAACTTTTTTCAAATTGAATTTGAACTTCATGCTGCAACTTTTTCAAGTCTATTTTTCTGGTTTTTGAGAAAAATTGGTCGGTCCATCACCACGGCAGTTTTCGTTTCATCGATTTCGACAGATAATGCGCAATGAACGGAGTATCTTTATCGCGCAATGTTACCGCACTGTTGCCAATATATTTGAGCATAGTTCTCCTGTTGTGTATCTAATTTAATTTGAATTAGAAATAATCTGAGTAATTATCAATTACATCAAGCTTTGATTTTTATACATTCACATATTACAGGGTCAGCTACGCCATCAAAGCTAGAGACGAGGCTGGAAACAGAGCTGATGTATCGAATATCGCTATGATTAAGTTTTACTACGTGCCTCCTGCGTTTGTTTCTCAGCAAAATAACACAGGATTATACGTTGGAATCGGAATACTTGTGTTTGTACTTGTCGTAGGTATGAACACTTTTAACTTCTTACAAAACCGCGTATATCATTTCGGCTTTTATTAAAGCTTAGTGTTTGGAAATATTACTTGGAAATGGTCATATCGAGATGTATAATTCAATGACGATTTTAGTATAAGAATCGGTTAGAGTCACTCGATAAAAACATGTAAATCCATTCATCTCAAAATATCGTCGCTTTATTTATATTTTACCAGGTGTGGGCGGGTTCCTTGCATATTGGTTTCACCGAAAGAAAAAATTACACAAAGTCTCAAAATCCAACAAGATTAAAGATGACAATGCTAAAATGGAGGCTGGGACAAAGAAGCAATATTCCAAAAACCCACATGCTTAATAAATACATTTCAGTAGTAATACTTCACGCAATACTGACTTGCACTTCTAACAAACAAGTATTGTTTTCTAGTTCAATATACTGTTCATTTTGACTGTATTTTGTTGATAACTGCTCACTGTTTCATTTTTATTATCATTTATATTGATATATATATAGCAACTCGTGTGTAACTAAAATCTTATGAAATATATATATATATGTTCCTCCTATAAACGAGGACAATTTGTGATTCAACGAAAACATTTGTGATGTGTAGTTAAATATAATAGAGTTACATGTAAATAGCAAGGATATTACTAATCAGTTACTTTATTTGCAATAAACGTTTTGTTATACAGATCTTTTGCACTATATTTTGGGTGGAGTACTTTTTCACCGTGTTGCATTAAACTGAAGTCAGGTATAGGGTCAACCGATATATAATGAACCACAATAATACCGTATCTCTTGACTCTTTTGCAATTTCATTTTGGGATTTGGGAAATGATCAAACACCAGTACTTTGGGATTTTTTTCACCAATGCTTTCACAAAACTGTGCTGAAATAAAGTTGAAGGGTTGTGGACTTAAAAACGAAGATTAAAGTTCAAAGAACAAAAAAAATTCTGTAATCAACACTGACTTTTACGTGAGCACTTACCGTGCATAAGAACTAAAATTTATTCAAGATACCATTCCAATAACGACGTGACGTGACTCAAACTAAACAATTAACTATTGAAAAAGTAAACTAGGTTTGGTAAAACAAATAGCTATCTGAATAAAAAATTATTAAAATAATAATACAGTAATTATATAGGAGATATATAAAGGCCACTAGAGCGAACAGTGCCTTTTTATCAAATGCCGAATAGAAAATTTTAGTGGGCAGTAGAGTCAATAATGTACAATTTTATGATGATCTTCAATTATCCTATGCATATACACAAAACATAGAATCGATACATCTTTTAAACCAGTTATTTCGACATTCAAACTCAAATATATCTACTTTGCAAAATTGATGGTAATAATGTGCACCAAAAATATTATTCACTCTGTCGCAATTTCCAATAATTAATTATTTTATAACTAAAATTCAATATCAAGATAGCGTTTACCAAATGAAAAAATCAAAAATCTATAAAATAAGAGACATTATCTAAATTTGTCTTGTACGAAAGTAAAAATACACTCTAAGAAACATTTATCACTTATATTGATACCGTCACAAAATACCAGTCTCATTAAAATACAGACAGAACGCGGTGTTTTTTCCAATTTTTTTCTGAATAATATGTATAACAAAGGCATAACTTCAACATTGGTTTTCTTTTAGTCATTCGCTTCCACATACATCAAAATACGAAATTTGACGTGGGAATATTCAGAAAAAATAATTCTAATTTGAAGATTAGTAATCGATGGAACTATATTTTTGCGCCGAATTTGACAGGACTCTACATCTTCTACAATTGTACTCTATTTTGTGTTCTATTCTATTCTATTTTGAATAATGATCCGCATTTGCTGGAGACCTGGACTCCCTCACCCACGGTTTGGTGGACGAGGAGGAAGCGGCGGGGCATTATCGACATCTTCGTAATATTGCTGTTGTATGGGAGTTTCATAGGCAGATTGGTTTGTTTGGGCGAATTCGTAATCATTTGTTTGATAATAAGGTTGTCGTTGGTATGCTTCATACCTGTAAGAAGGTTGTTGATAAGGTGCATTGACTGTCGAATAATCCGGTGGGCACTCATGAGGAAGATCCGTGGCCTTGTCGTATTCGCTTGGTTGATAGACCCTCTCCCTTGGACTGACTGCCTTTTTACGGTTGTGTCGTTTACATAACCATAATAACACCGCTACAACTGAATATAAACATGTATAATATGAAGAAGAACTAAACACATGAGGTTCCGAGTCGGAAAAAACAAGAACATTCACATGGTGCTACGATACCTCATGATTCAGTAATGCCTCATATAGACTATTTATTAGGTTCTGATAATATATGAGCTCAACTTATTCGCCCCAAATACTAGAATTAATATACATATTAAATAATATATTATATTTAGTCAGTAGTTCGAATGAAGAAACATTTAATTACTTACCGGAAATGACAATTATTACAATCGGAACAGAAAGTCCAATGATAAGTCCATCTGTTAAAAATAATTTGAGTGTAAAATCTTTCCTAGCAAAGGTGAGTTTTTAACTAACAGGTATGGATTAGTAATACTGCTTCAAAACTCCAGGGTAAATATAGAAAATTCTAATGTAACTCGCGCGATGTACTAATCAAAACATAAGGTACAAACGCTCTACATAATTTTATTCATATCTTCCATTCATTCACTTCAATAGTGTCGTCATCGATACAGTAACATACTAGTTTTGAACTTTGCCTTACCCTATAGGCATATTGTGCAATATACATCACGCTATTTAGTTTCAAAAGTTTTCAAAACCGTCTGTTTGTTCATGAATAAAACGTGATCTTACTGACTTTGATTAGCTAGTTTCACTTTGCTCTATTTAAAATTCATTAGTATAGTTGACAATTTTGTCTTCTTCGCCTTGTGACGTTTGATGAATGACAAATGAACTTTCTGGTCATCGACCTCTGACTTATCACAGACAGATTTATTATTAGCTTTAGCTTGTCTTCGACCCCAAAGCTACTAATTGTCCTTGATATTGAAGACAAATAGGATTAGCGTGAGACAGGATTCCATGTGATGCAAAAATTTTCTTCATAAAATCCTTGATTTGGAATATTTAAGATTCACAAAAGATAAACAGAAATTACACCTCACATCCACTGATAATCCTAGTTTTGTGTCTAAAAAAATATACTAATAGTAACCAAATTTATATGAATTTAAACTCACTTGATGGTTCTGGTTTACTCGGTATCGACGTAGGTTTTGATACTGTTGTTACTTTGATGGAGGTTGAAAATACTGAATTGGTCGATGTTGCTATCACTACTGGTTTACCTACGACATATTCCGTAGCCGCAATATTAGATATCGGCGATACATTGCCTTCTAAGTCCGCTGATCGCACAACTAAGCTGACTCTGCAAAAAGCACTTGTTTGTTTAACTTAGTTCCAAGAAAAAGGTAAGAATGGATTCGCACAAGGGCGCCAGTTAAGCAAATACTTATTTTCTCTCGTATTCAATATTCGCAGCTTGAATTCACGTAGGCGTTTAGGATGGGTGTCCTAAATATAGCTTTAGTCGGAACACGGATAATTACTAATCTCTCCCTATAAGCCTACATTCGTTCGCATTTGACTTTGCAACGTACAATATGTAGCAACTTTAGTTTCAAGAAAAAGGTAAGAATGAAACCGCACATAAGGCCACGTACTTATTTTCTCTCGTATTCTGTCTTCGTAACTTGACTTCGCAACGTAGCAAATATGTAGCAAACTATGGTAACATGCACATAATGCGAATGAAGCAGTAATAACCAACAACAATGAGCACCTACGTGTAAAATCCTTCTATAGTAGGCACAGACACAAGCGCCAATCTCATAGTTTCAATCTCTCCAAACTTTTTAGGACTTTTCAAACTTCCTTGTAAGAAATCATCTTCTAAAACCACACGTGTTGTTTCATTTCTCGACTGACCGAGATTAATCAAATCGGTGGACGCTTCGAATGTGTAAAACATTTCATAATAAAAAGCTGAAATAAAAACGTTTTAATATTGTATTTTTCCAATTGCAAAAGTAGTTACAGTTTGGAATAAATAACATGCTAAAATAATATTAGTTTGTGGTCAACCTCGAACCTACAGTACTCAATTTGCATTTTATTCAATTGGAATTTTTGATCATAATACAAGACCCACCATTTCCTACGTCGTAGTCGTTTCCCGGAGCAGTAAATAAAATGTCGATTTTGTTTGTGGATTCGGTTGCTTGTTTGATTTCGAGATCAATAATTTTACATGGCGATATATTATCTGGTCCTCCGGATGCGCTACAAATGATATAAACTAATATAAGTAAAAAATATGAATAATTATTATTACGAAACTATAATTAACCAGTCGAAACCAGAAACACTAATTGCTATAAGCTGAATAAGTGTGAGAGCACTTCATCTTTGAATTTTTTAATTTTCTTTTTGGGTAAAATTATTCTATCAATACGATTCGCAATGGTTTCAACTAAAATATTTTTAATTCATATTTACCCAGAATGAGTGAAGCCGACCATCGAGAGAGATCTACTAAATTCAGTAACAGAAATACTGTTTGATTCTACTGAATCTGGCAAGCCGTTTGGATTCAACTTCACAGAACCTAAATGATTGGGAAACGATGATTTCTTATATTCAATTTATGAGTAACGTTACCGCACCATACCATCTGCATAGCGCACCAAATTGTCATTATAAATTTTGCTTTTATTGATTAGTGACGATACCAGATTGTGAGACTCAATGATTTTGGTTCTGGCAAAATTCGCCGCATGAAATTTCGCCGCAAGAGCATTTTGCTGTGAAACAAGTATTTGTAATGAAACAGTTAGGTTTTTGAAGTACCTTTAAATTTAGAAAAGATTCGATATTTAAGAGCATAACCTAACACTATAAACCTAACTGTTTTTTATCACAAATACTTGTTTTACAGCAAAATGCTCTTGCGGCGAAATTTCATGCGGCGAATTTTTCGGACACGCAATGATTTCAATGCTGAAACTAATTCATTCATGCATTTTCTGCTTCAAATCCTATTTTAAAGACTAATCATTATTCTAAATATTTGTGAAATATCGAATTTGCCATACCATCGTCAAGGACAACGCCATAGTTGTAATTTGCAAATGACATCGTGTTTCCGTTTATTTTAGCAGATGTGCCTGATGCAGTTGCTTCAATCTAGATATAAAAAAAAACAAAAATGAAGTATGTGTCAACGTTTTAGATATAAAAGTCTTCGATTCTTGAACATGGTCGGCTTTCAGACTAAAATACATTTTTAAATATAATCTTTTCTCAACTGAAAACATTGATAGATAAAAATGTTAAATTGATTGATAAAATTTGAGCTAGGAAGAAAATAAAATGATATATATAAAAATTCTTCAAAATAATTTATACTTATTATAACCTTTACACTATATCGACCGTTGATGGTTGTAATATCCGTTAAAGACTTTGAATATATTCCATCATCCATTTTTTGATCCGCCCCTTAAAAGATTCACTATAACTGTGATTATCACCAAATAGTATGTTATTGTAATAAAAAGAGTGTTGCCAATCGAAGTGTATTATGTCAAAAACGTGAAAAAGAACAGAATTCTGAAGAATGTGGATTGTCGTGTTGTTTTCTCAAGACACATCCATTTTACCATTCGACATGAGTCTCTCAGGAATATTATAGTAAAAAAATTTCAAGAACAATTCGACTCTCAGTGACGCAGTATATATTAGACAGCACCATAGAAATTACTCATACCCGCTCCGTTATCGAAAAGATCAATAGTGACAACACTTTTATCTGGTTTTGAAATTTTTGCTACAACATTCACCCCAGCAATAGGTAGCAACCCTTTTGAAACCTGAAAATTGTGATGCGGCAATCAGTGATTAAGTTACAAACTTACAATAGCTATTGACTTCAATTAAAGGATTGTAAAAATATAAACACTTACTTTCGCGCGCAGTACCTTTACAGAACTAGATTCTGATGTTGTTAGGAATGGCGTTATCATTATTGGTTCAACATCTTGATCCGCTGCTGACGATGATATTTGAATATTGACCTTTGAACCCAAGGATGGTTCTATGATGTATTTCCAGTTTCCTTCCTGTCATTAAGTAGTGTTATTCTTCGAATACTTGATTTTAATAGGGACTAAAAGCATTTATTGTATGAAGCAAATATTTTTTAATAAATTTCAAAGCGACTTAAAATTGTATGGTTACGTGGTTAAATTGTCGTTTTCATACATCCAATAATAATATACTGAATTGAGAACTCCTCTTTTTTTTTTAATCCTAATTTATTATTATTCAGATAACTGAAGAATGTCTGCCAGAGTGCCAGGTGAATAGACGTCGCAATCCATGGAATAAAATTTGCTTTAAAACAATCTGAAAAGTAGAGCAACCTGGTTTTTAATGTGTAGTAGTTATTACCTTTGCAATACTAGACATATTGAACGATATTGTATTAAATCCTATGGCTTCTGAGCTCACGGTATTTCCACAATTCGAAGTTGGTCCACTGCTTGAATGGGTGAACTCGCAACCATCTGGGCTTTGAAGTCTTACGCTCAAATCTGGGTTGCCAGAATTCCAAGAAAATGAAAAAACAGTATTCTTTCCAATTGTTTGATCCAAATATACAGATGATTGATATGCTCCTGATGGTATGCTCACCTCATAACTTTCGATCTGAAATTCAAATATTATTTGTGAAGTTTAGGGTTCAATATACCCATGTCGTATTCCAACGTATGTCGTATTCCTACGAAGATTTGTGAACACAGTCAAAAATCGACGAAAAATAGGCCATACTCAGTATATAGTAACATGTAAATTGTTATTGATTAGGCCATATGCTTGCTATTGGCAAATCTTAAGTGTTTTTTCGAATAATCGAATGAGTGTTTGGGTTTGTACGTCTTCTTTTGAAAGCTTTCATTTTTATTATAAACGGTATAATCTTCAATAATCAAATTTTTACAGTAAGAACTTGTGCTGTAGTATCACCATCTTCTGGTTGGACCATTGTAATAAAAGCGTTTGTCAAAGAATTTAAATCGTTTTCGTCGGCAACAAAAACCCATTTTCCACCAGTTTCTGTTATAAGTTGTTGAAGTCCTTTTTCTCTTCCTCCATCGGTTTCATCATAATATATTGTACTGACATGAACTCCCTGGAAATGTCATGTAAATTTTTGTGCAAAAAAGTTCTATAGGTAATAAAATCTGATGCATCCAAAAAATGTTAAATTCGGCAACCAAACCAAATGTTACTTGGTAACCAGACCAAAAAAGCTTTCATTGTCCACAATTTTGAAAGTACTCAATAAGCCATAAGGTCATGTAAACGAACGCAGAAAAGGTAAATGTAGTCACGAGTTGAATGTAAACATTGATTTCCAAGTAAGAAGCACCGTTGAAATTTCATTTCACGCGCTCGTTTTACAATTTCCTAGGAATAATGCAACGCATAACAATGGTGAAGTCGGGATTTCCAAATAATGTGTATACCTTTCCTACGATGCTATCAAACACCATGTCGACGAAATTCGGTTCATTTTCTTTCCCATCAACTAAGACTATAAGATTTCCTCCTGCAGCGCTTTCACCTCCATACTCCAAAACCTGTTAGGTAATGATTACGTAATTGCTAATTGAATCAAACAATATACTACACACTGCTGGATTGAGCGATTTAAAAATGAACTTATCAAAAAGACGCTAAATATATTTTGTCACAACTTAAAATATTTCTACTATTCATTTTTCGACTGAAAATTCAATAAATCTGAAAATAAATCATGATACTTTTCATCAAAATATGATAAGTTACTAAAAACCCTGTCATTCAAACAAGTATCTATATTTGAGAAATTAAGGGAGCGAATTTCAACGTATGTTATAATTACTTCAATTCCTTTGAGCAATCCATCTCCAATGCTTGTGAAATCTTGAGTAATGGTGGGAAGCAAATTCACAAAATCTTCACGATCATTTCGAGTTTCTATAGTTTTCAAATAACTCAATATATCAGCGTTTGAAGAGAACTCAACCATTCCTATTCGACTTCCTGATGGTAGATAATTCATTATCATTTCTCTTGCTGCTGTTCTGAACGTTTGTAATCTAAGCTAAAAATAAAAAGCAACGGAATTTTGTGATGAGATATTATGTGAGATGATACCATGATAGTATTAGTTTCATGCAAGATATTCTAGCAAAAATAATTTACTCAAAGGGAAAAGGAAAAATGCTTAGTGTCGTTAGTACTTTCTCTTTTAATATTTTTATCATTTATTTCAAATGGTGTCGTATAACATTCAGGTCTTACCCCCTTCATGCTGTTTGAGACATCTATAACGAGAACATATCTTGGATGTTCTTCCATTTTGACAAAATTGAACGAGGGCGTTAGGTCAGTAATGCTATCATTTGCTAGATTACTCCCATTCATGAAATCGTCATGTTGTAAAATGTGATACCAAGAACTTTTTCTGTCACAAAGTCGATTTTGCTCATTCTTTGCATTTGAATTATGGACGTTCGGATCGTTCGGATTGGTTGGGTCCTGATCGTGACAGAATGTGACAACCTAAATATAATAAATATTTACTGTCAAATTCAACTAACGTAATGTATATTGTTAACTTGATAAATCATTGCCCAAAATAGAAAAGCGAATATAGTTTTGTATTTCAAAGTATGTCCTCATTCCGAGTTCGATAATTACAAAGCTGAATAGTGTGATATAGTCACCTTTGACCCTTGCCAACCATGCCTAAAAATGACGTATCTTATACATTCTGTTATAACTATATACGAGTGTCATAAACTGTTGGGGCTTTTATCTGGAATGTGTTCCATTTAGAATGTGAATAAATTTTTTATAGCAATATAGTTGCGCGTGCCTAAAAAGTTTTACTGCTGGGGATCGGGCAATTGTGAAGAATATCTCTATTGGATGACATCATTAATCAAATCACACGATATTGAGTTCAGTCCAGTTTTTATAGGTGCGCTATTACCAAGGAAACAAATGATCAAATAAACTAGAGGAACGCGTCCTGGTAGTTGCGACAATATTTCTTATTTATCTGTTTATTTTTTCCAACTTCAATGGTGCAGGTGCAAAAAATGTGAATGTAAAGAAAATTTAGAGTATTATAAGTTGAAAATATGTAAAATATTTACATTGTCCAAATACTGGTAACACGAAAGAGTGGTGCTAACTCCAGCTGTATTTTCTTGTGGTAAAAAAACACACGGATCATCTGTGTAAGTATTGGTATTTTCATCAAACGCACAAGTCGTAGCAGTGTTCTCAACATTGACAACTAATCCACTGACAGATTCTGGACACCTTAATTTTTTTAAACAAAATATAAGCGTGTATTCTACAACCAACACCAGAGCACAAGCATTTTGAAGCAAACAGGTTTCTTTTTGATTTCCCTGTTAAATATTTGGTACTCACGTAGTATGTTTACCAGGTTAGGATTTGGCATAATTTAATTCCGATTTTTCTATTTTAGTTCTATTACGAGTTCAGGGGCTGTCTGTGTTAGCCAAGTGGCTCATAGGTTTCAGTCTCTTTACACAACTTGATGTAAAGTATAGGCAAACAAAATTAGTTATCTATATTGGTGCACACACTTATGAAGCCCCAAATTTTCAGTGTTCAGTACCATCGTAATATACTTGGTTACTTTTCTATGACATCAGACACACAAAAGAGTTGAAGAACAAAAACTATGACTATAAATTTAGTTAATTTTAACCACTTTCAATTACTGTATATGTATAAGAAAGTTATTCTATTTGCCTTGATGCTTGGGGTTCTCCATTTTGCTTCGTATACTCTGTTGAAGTCTCATCGTATATGCCATATCGGTAATGTGCCCATTGTTGAACAATAGCTTTACCTGGAATTAAAAATTACTTGAATGTAAAACGCACTACTTTTACTTTCTATTTTACATTTGGTTTTGTTATCAAAATCAAAAATTTTAAAACTTTATTCAGGGAAAATTTGAACCAGACCAAAAGTACTTAAATATCTCGGCCACTATTATCAAGTTTGCAGAAAAGACAAATCCTTCTGCTAAGATTAATAAAAGCTATTTAATTGACTTGAAAAGGGTTAGATTAATACTTTCAGGCTCGCATTTGTTTTCAAATAGACCGGCCTATATGTACCATCGTCTTTTGTCTTTTCTTGGGTTCAGAATAAAAAAGCCTAAAAAATCTATGTCCTTATCATTTATAGTTACAATTTACCTCTTTGACCGAAATTTGTAACAGCGTCATCGTCAGTATAGTAGTTATATCTGGTATGGATTTTGCTTCCTGGCTCGCCACATGCACTTCCGTATTGTTCCGTGAAAGGGGCTGATATGGAACCGCTTTCAATCACTACATCGGCCTGAAAAGATGGTTGTGACACATGTATGCAGTTAAACATAACAGCAAATAGCAATAAAACACAAATTCATATACGAAAGAGGGCATTACATAAGGCATAAGCTTGTGGATCGGCTGCAAAGCGTGCCGGAATCAAGCGATAAAAATCTTGTTGACGAATTATACCAACAACAAAATATAACTAAGGAAAGAGATTTGAATGTATCATATTACCTCGCTGTAAGTCTCTTCTGTTGATATAGGATAAGAAGTTTTGGTCCATGTTGCCGGCACCAGTATTGTAATGGTATTGAAATACGCGCGATGTTTAGTTGCTTTGTATAAAGCTTCTGATGCGCTTGTCCATGCGTCCTAATGAACAAAAATATACATTTTCTGTGAAAAAAAACATTAATCTTAAAGTCAAATTTGTTTACATACACCATTTTTCTAATCTAACAGATTTTATAGGAAGACATTCTATCAATAACTCACAGTTATTTCCTGAATCAATGCTGAACTTTCCGGAACGGTAGGATGAATAGCAATTAGTAATCCTTTGTATCCATTATTCTCTAATTTCACATTTGTTGATCCGACAAAAGAACGGAAAAGAAAAAATAAGACTACCACTGGTAGTCGAGAACTCCACATATCTTTTCAACTATTCATATAATTGATATACTGAAAAGATGCATTTATATGTAGTAATAAATGTTATCCAAATAACTAATATTCACTACAAAATAATTCGATAATTGCTTGTGATAAATAGTTGTCTTTTTTCAAACTAGAACGATAAATTGATTTTTTCTAACCCCAACTCTTTTATCGAATTGATTCTGTCCATACTATTCTGTGGTATTCTGGGTTTGTGTATTTGAATTAAACATTTAAAATGAAACTTGTCTAAGTTTGTTTGCTGTGTGACAACACATCATTTTGAATACTCAAAAATATTTCCATTGTTCATTCTAATGGCAAAATGATAAGAGCGAATAAGTATTTATTTTAAAAAAATGGCGCCACACTCGATTGGTCAATTATTTATTTTTCAACCTCTATTCGTCAAGATATGGCGCTTGTAAATCGGTTGCGATGCTACCTCGAAGCGAAATACACTCCGTTCAGACATGCTTTGTTGATGATTAACAACAGTTTCGTGCATTTGATATTAGATTTTTCTTAGTCATGATGTGGACACGATGACCCCCATCCCTTGCTTTATTGTTTGGCGATATATATATATATGATATACGACCGGGAAGGCGAACGCGGCCGAGTTGAGTTTCAAGCAGTATCCGTTGAGTAAACAAATAATACGTTTACTTTATAAGACCAGGTCAGTGATCGCATTGCTCCTGTACCTTGGGTTCTATGGTACCATGCGTTTAATAGAAGTACCGATGGTAAAATTCTATTTAAACTGTAATATGTAATCAGCGACGAATTAGACTTTCTATTGATTAAATACAGCAACCTATAATTGTTGAATTTCTTTGAAAATCACATTTGGATAAAAATGTTATCCTCCAATTAATTTTTTTATTTCAGAATAAAGAAAACGATTTGAAAATGGACTCGTAAATGAACCCTAATGTTTGCACAGCTTTGCTCTATTTATATGTGTAAACATGCTAATTATTAATTTCAAATAAAAAAAATTAAATCGGGGCTTGCGTTTATTTACCCCTCCTTTGAAAAAATGAGAATTTCGTTGTTGTTTGATGGCAAACTTTCACTTTAAAGTTTGCATTTCCGTATATCATTCCCCGATATTGTCCCGTGGTATATGACGTTTTTCTATTTAATCTATATTCATTCATAACACAATTGCTAGAAGACTTCGTCTAGATACTTTTTTATTGGAAAGGAGTCGGAACTACTATACGAGTTCATAGATTATACAGGTGTGCTCTATTACTTAAGGCTATTATGTGATGGATAGATTCCAAGTACAACTTTGAAAATGAAAGGCATGAAATGTTATATACCAGTTATGCACACTACGTAAGAGAACAAAAGTTGCATCACCAATTAGTTTTGATTCAAACAGAAATAGACAATTGAATAAAAAGGTCAGATTTGGACGATAACTTTGAATGGTTATTAATGCACCTGTGATTTTGCTACTCTGAAAAGTAGAAAGATTTTTCAGTTAAAAGTTTAGCATTCCGATGAGTGAGTTAAAACTTATGCGAAGGAATGTACCATAATTAACTAATTTGATAAAAACTCGTTCTGGCAATATAATATATCATGAGTATAGACAACAGCTTTATAGTGATCGGTGGCGTTTTCATTTAGGAAAAAACAAATAAGGATACATACTACTATGTTGCACTGATAATTTAGTTCTTACCTATCATGATCGACCATTAACCATAAGGTTTTTATTCATAGAAACTAATTTAGAAAAGCAAGCTTGTTGAAATTTAACAAGTATATATGTTGAATTCAAAAGCTTTTTCCTCAGCAAGTATGTTTTTAACGTGAATTTGATTTTTTTCAGAATATTGATAATAGAAATTTTAGCATATGAAAACGAAAATGACGAAAATATGGTTGTTCATGATTTCTATGCTACTTTATCGACTTGTTGAAGGAATCGTCAAACTTGAGAACAACAAATATACTGGAATTGTCATAGCGATCAATCCAAGTGTATCCGAAGATCATGACTTGATAGATTCAATAATAGTAAGAACGTATTTGATAATGTTTGGTGAATATTTCGTAATTCATTTCAACTAAGCAGCAAAATACATTCTAGGAAAACATTTGATATATTGACGTAATCAGTAAGACCAAAGTACATTATATTATTTCGTTTCGTTATATTGTTTGTGTGTACCATATTTGATGTATGCCTATATATATTGCAATCGCGTATTGTTGACATTATGACATATGTAATTTCTGTATGCAAAAGTGTATATGAACAATGTTCAAACGCTAGACGAAAATTTTCCTTGGTGAAGGTCATATGACGTCACCCAATTTGTGATCATATATTTGTGCTTTGATTTTTGGAGACTCAGAGGACGAATCGTTTTGTTATAGCCTATATTAGGTTGTCATGAAAAAATCGCTTTTTTCTTCACTGGACCAATTGCTTTGAAATATTAAGTAGTTAAAGCTTGCTGTTGTCGCTTGAAGGCTATTTCATTTGTTTTTTCACTTCAAAGTTTTGTGTCATGAGGCCATCAAAATTAAATGTTGCGAGCCGTGGTTCCGTGATCACATCTCAGTGATCTGACTACCGGTGCTGGGATAGATTTGGTCCTACTTCGTTTTAGCCTTCGTGTCCATATATTTGAGCATTGCTCTCTTGTTTATTTATTCATTGGACACAAAACTTTCGCTTCATTGAAACCATATTATCTATTACAGGAATCTTGGACAGAGGCATCCAGTGCGCTATTCACAGCAACCAAAAATCGTGCATATATTGGCGAAGTAACAATTCTTCTGCCAAGCAATTGGACATATTCATCTGCGGAACTAGCTGGGAATGAGACATATGACAAAGTAACCAGAATGCTAGATTTTTTCTTTTTTTTAGAACGTGGAAATGTCAGCTTATTCTCCCGTTAACGCGACAAGTACTTTTATAAATTATTGTGCAAAATATGTCATAAGGACCCTCTACGCCAGGGGTGTCAAGCTCGTGGGTTTTCGAGGGCCGCATTGCATTTTAGGAATTGTGCAAAGGGCCGCAAATAGTTTTTGATATATTTTGACAATGTATACTTGAGGCATATTTTTATATAGGTATAGTTTGTGGCATATATTTTGACGCAATTGAACAGCCGAATGAAGTTTTGGTATCTTCTCGAATTTCAAATGCAATTTACATATTAATTTTTGCATTTCAATATTATTGCAATTTACTATATTTATCACAAAAAATCATAAATTTTCATGTACAACATTTTTGAACAAAGTTCTGATAAGGAAAGAATAATACATACACTAAAAAATACTTAATCTCAATATATAAGCCTAAAATTTACAAAAATACTACAGAATAAACTTTTTTTTATTACATATGACCTGACGTTTGGCATCTCTTTTGTGCCACCATCTTACTAATATCAGGATGAAATGATTTTACAGTACCAACTCTAATTGACGAGGACATATGATCATAGGTTACTCTGGATGGTTGAGAATGTTTGATTAATTTCAGTAATACAAAATATTACGTTTATCATTGCATGTATAGATCAGTAAACAAACAAATGACTACTTTTTCGGACTAGACCAGGGGTGGGCAACCCCTGGCACGCGTGCCAAACTCGGCACGCGAGCCCATTTATTCGGCACGCGAGCGAGGCCTCAGAAACGAGATCATTTTCTTTCAGATAAAAAGTTTCGAGGCTCTGATTTATCTGATGAAACTCGGTGTTTGTTCATTCATTATCGTTTGTTAACAATCTGTTATTCATTTAAAATTTTAAACTCTTTTTGTCTTTTCATGACATATACAAAGTAATACATTATGACGTAACAACTGAGTTAGCTTTCGACGAATTGTGACGAGACACAGCATTCATTGGGGGTTCATTGTTACGTAATATTGAGTTCGTCTGTGCCACTATTTTTCTTCATTTCTGATTGACTTATGAGGTTGTACCGTAAATATATACTACTACGGTTGTACAGCTCATGTTGGTTAGAGTTACTTGCTAACTTACTGAAATAAATTGATTTCAAAAGAAATATAACCAGTAGTTGTATTATTCTTTGAAAGTTACAAAATATAATCCCATCACTTGTATAGAATAAGAAAAGTAATCAAATCTATTTGTCAGGCTGATATTTTCCCGAATAGTGAATCCGTCTGTAGATTACATGTTTAGAAGGTTTATTATTGTGTATTTTTGCTTTAAAAGTAACAAGCATTGTTTCTAATTTTGGTTGGAACGCGGAAGAATTTTGTCGTTAAATTTAGCCGATTTGGGCACGCGAGCCGAAAAAGGTTGCCCACCCCTGGACTAGACATTTCCCTCCACATTTCCTACCATAACGTGGCATACGTGGAGCGCTTGAGTTATTGATATCGATTTTCAGTAACTAGGTAGCCTTATAATTATGTTAATATACAAACATATTAAAAAAAAAAATTCAAAGTTGATTTTTAAAATTGTTATATTGACTGCTGAGCTTATTCTGATAATGTCTATATTGTATTCTTTCATTGTACTGATGGAAATGTGACAAATTAAACAATGTGATTTAGAATTTTAAGAAATGTAAAAATATTGCAACTCCTATTTTTCTTCAAAAATGCGTTATATTTACTCTTTAATGTTTTTTACAAGATATCTTTTGCTAGCTTGAGGTGTATCCAATTGGGTCCAATTGCGAACAAAAAAAATTTAATTTTCTGAAACTACTAAATCGATTTCACTTTAAAAGGTTTGAAAAATGTATTACATTTAGATAACAAATAACTCACATAATTTTAGAAATATTGTTAGGCGTTTGAGGGTCGCATTGGAAGTGCTCGCGGCCGCGGGCCGCATGTTTGACACCCCTGCTCTAGGCGACATTTATATATATTTAGGACGACAAATGCATGAATCTATTGAAATTACAGGCGATAGATTAGCTCTACTGTGACGTGTAAATGTGGGGGGGGGGGGGGTGAGTAGCGTTTTGTGAGCGAGAATGAGTCTGCAATATATATAATAATTAATTTTGTACAAACTACGTTCAGTGATTTGTCAAATGTTGAAGCAAACTCTATATACTTATGTGTGTTTTTGTTTTGAACAGGCCGATGCTATAATAGCGAAAGAGAATCCGAGCTATGGAGATGCACCATATACACTCCAATTGGGAGGTTGTGGACAACCTGGATCATATATTCATTTCACTCCAAATTATTTTCTGGATGATAGCATGATAACAAACTATGGACCAAGAGGTAGATTGTACAAACATGAAATAAAAATTGAAACGTTTGTTTTTTGGCATTTGCTCAATTTGAAGCAATAATGCAAAGTTCAGTTTTCGGCAGAAATTGAGCATATGAATTGAAATATGTGGGGCAGGCCTATATACAAAATTGTACAATTAGACATATAGATGGTTTCGTTGTATGCATAATTTTATCTTCTTTAAGAATATAAATTTCGTGCCAGATATCTTTGACCAGAATGTTTTTTACAGAAAAAGTGATAGTACACGAATGGGCGCACTACAGATGGGGCGTTTTTGATGAAACATCGGAAACCGATCCATTTTACATCGATCCTGATGATGATGCAAATGTATTGTGCGACCCACAAGATTATAATAATTGCCAAACCAAAACTCAGTAAGTTAATTGATGCATTGTTTATTGAATACGCGCTAATTCACGCGGTAGTCCTCAAGAGTAACTCTCGGTGTCTGCCAAGATTTAGGGAATTTTGCAAATTAAGTAATAATCATAGACCATAATGTTATATCATATTATTAAGATGTCCACGAGCAATCAAAATTTGCTGCACAGAAGACCCAAACCCAAGTTTGAAATGTGACGACGAGGAATTAGATATTGGCAGACCGACAACCTGTAACACTGACTCGACTACGGGATTGTTTACACAAGACTGCGTATGCTATGCATCGGACTCAGATGGAGTGTTTAACGCATCACTAATGTCCTACCAATATATAGAACCGGTAGGAATATTCAGTTATAAGCGACCACATTTGTTTCTCCCGTCACTCAGGTTAATGAGGTACATTTATTGAAAATATGACATTCATTAATTAACGCAAAGTAAAATGTTATAGATCGTGTCTTTTTGCGAGGATGGTAACGGCCGAAATTTCCACAATGCCGATGCGCCGAATGATCAGAATCGATTGTGCAACAGAAAGAGTACATGGACCGTTATAATGGAATCAAACGACTTCACAAGTGGGAATTCTCCTGTTTCAATTCCTGATACAACACCAAAATTCAATATTAAACGTGCCGAAGGCTACCGAAGATTTGTTTTGGTAATGGATGTTTCAGGCAGCATGTCGACGGCTGACGCAAGTACCGGCCAAGTATGTTTCATCATAATGATAATTAATTTTGTTTAATTAATTTTGTTTCTGATTGAATACTACTTTTCTTCTATACAGACGAGAATACAACAAATATCTACATCTGCAAATTATTTTATCACAAGTGTGCCGAACGGATCGTATGTCGGAATAGTAACATTTGAATCGACATCATCTATTATAAGCTCATTAGTGAAATTAGAAACACCGGAAGAACGAAAAAACTTGGCTGCAAAGTTGCCCGTCTATGCATCCGGGGGTACATGTATAGGATGTGGGATTCAAAGAGGAATTGAGGTAACAAGATGTGTTGCGCTTATCTGAAAATATACTGCAAATGCGTCGTCGTTACTTACTTACTTACTTACTTACTGAGATTTAGAAAAGCATATATATAACTAGCAGAAAACAAAGATAACTCTGTGCTATGTTAACAAACCTATACCTCAAATTGTACAAGTAACAGAAAGCTAATGAACTTTTTCGCATAGTTTTACTGGATTGAAAAATTACAATTTAGCTTATTTGCTTTATTGTGATGAATAGGTACTTGAGAATTATGGACCACCAGAAGGGGGGCAACTAATCGTTATGACGGATGGAGAAGAAACTACTTACCCCTTTGTAAGGGACGTTCGAGACGAGGTGCTAGATAAGGTAAAAGAAAAACAAAATTAGAATGTATTTTAGAGTACATATAATTATTGTTACTCATACTTGTGTTAAGATTGGAAAAATGATAAATCAAATTTGGTAAGAGATTGAACTCGGGCAAAATTGGCCTTCACCCGCCGTCGGAATAGTTTTACAAACCACACAAAGTAATGACAATTTCACGGTAATAAGCCCTAGAAATTCAGCAGTATCGTGCAAGAAAATTATTTGATTCGATTGTTTTACTTTTCATAACTACAAATTGATATAAGATACAGTGAACTAAAACTGATATCAGTGCTACTTACAGATAAGCGTTAAGTTGGGACACGTTGAAGTTTTCACAAAATATATAACAATATTTTGCTGATGTCTAACTTGAGATTGCTCCGATTGCATTTCTCTTTGCTGACTTCATGTATAATGAAAAAAAAATGCGACATATCAAAACTTTAAAAATATAGATGTTTTTCTAAATCAATGTACTCACTTTAAAATGAACTTTTATCTCGTCTCGAGATCATTTGTTTACACGTATTCGTGTTTTTTAAGACGGTGGTTGTTCAATCTTTGATCGTGTATACAGTTGAAAACGCAGATCTTGTTTCTCTTTCGGAAGATAGCGGTGGCCAATGGTTTTTCGCAGGATCAAACGATTTGCAGGCGTTTGTAGAATCCTATAATCAAATGCTTGATCCAACCGACGGGGATGACACAAAGAAAACACTGCAGGTTTGGTTTTTCATTTCATTTGACCAGCTAGAACAAAAACACTTTAGGCTTGTACATAAACTAAATATAGTACGGTATAATGAATGCATTTAAATCGTGTTGCAATTATAGCAACGGATCGTAACGAGTCGATAAATATTGGCCTTGAAATTGGGACTAGTGAATGAAAAGAACGCATGTACTCATATCACAAATAAAACCATAACCAATGACAACTGAAAAGAATGAAACGCAATGAAAGTTTTTCGCGAACTAGGTTAAATTTAACAGCTTATATCAGTGTTTCCCAACCCGAGTCCGCGGTCTCAAATGAGTCTGCGGAGCGTTTGAATGAGTCCGCAATGAGCCAGAAATTCAGCCACGTTGCGATTTACGTTAGAATTTACATAAAACATGAAAAGCAAGTTTAGTAACATAACATTAGTCGAGTCAATAATTACTGGTTACTGAGAATATCTGGGCATATATTCGAATATTCAACTATTGGAATAGCAATTTACTATTCGAAAATTTGGTAACAGGTGACGCGATAGGTCACTTGCGCTCAATCAGACGATTGGATTTCACGGTGACCGTGCACTTGAACCCATGTGTATATCCGCGGGTTCAATCTATATGCGGGTGCTAAAACCCATGGGTTAGGGTTAGTATGGGTTCAAATATCCGTAAAACAAAACAAATAAATTCCATAGGTGCAATAGTATGCAGCTGCAATTGTCGTGGGTTCAAATGTACCTGGGTTTAAATGTAATGGAACCAGATTTCACAACTCACTTGCGGATTTCCGACGAAAACACGAATCTGCACACGCTTCGATAAATACCTAAGTGGTGTTTCTCGCGAGTTCTTACGACGAGGAATAAATTTTTTTTTTTTCTGGTTGGTGTCAATGGTGGCAACCCAAATTTTCTAAATTGAAAAGCGGCAATACAAAATACTAAAAATAAAACGAAGAACACCATAAGTTTTGTTTTATGATGGTCCGCGACCGATTAAAAACGCTTTTTCGACATTGCAAATCACAAAATTTTGGATGCTACCGTACCAGAGCATTTCCCCTTAGGATTCTTTGCTTTACTGCCGCCACATTGGTATACGTACAGTACTGCCGTAGGCGTTGTACGAACAGCTCAGATTTGACGAATTCACAAAAATACGAATCAAAACAAAATATAATCGGGCACTTTACCACGCAATTTTGTGTCGTGAGTAGTTTTGCTTTTATTTCGTCAACACAACCGCAGATTAAAATGATCACAATAAAATTATTAATAAACCATGGCGATGAATATAATAGGTATTTTTGATTCACTAATATATATACTCTAAATATGTTTTTGATGAGTACTAAATCAGGTTGCACTTTCTAAAAATTTATAGCAGATAGTAGGATTTTTTTTAACGGCGATAACAAATTAGCAAGATCGCAAAAAATATTTATCAAAACTAAGTATAATCGGACAATATATTCTCACATTATTATGTTCACAGATTGCCATTGTAATTTAGAAAAGTAATGCTTTTATCTTGTCATAATTCGACGCAACCGCGAATTATCATGAACACAATTAAGTTAAAATAGGAATACATCTTAAATTCTCGTCGTTGTCATGGATTGAATTTTGTGCGACAGAAAAGGCCATTGTTGAAATTTGTTAAAATTCTGTTGTGTTCGGTTTTATTGCCTGTTCTCACAGAGTATACGGTTGCAATAAACGCACCTTGAGTCCGCAAAGGGTTTCGCCGGTGAGAAAATAGTCCGCGAACAAAAAAGGTTGGAAAACGCTGGCTTATATGAACCTTAGTATTTATACGTCTCTCAAAAGTCCTTGGAAGCTTTTTGCTACTAGGTATTAGAAGTAAAATATTTCAATTTTAGCCTAATGTCAATTTTGATCAAAAAAAAAACAAGACATGGTTGTATTACGTTAGGACTGGTTCAAGCACGAATGGGTTCTTCTTTTCACATCGGTTACTTTTTTGGCATTTCTCAACTTCCTAAATGAATCGAGATCGAACAATTCGGAAACCTGATAAATTTGACTTATATTTCAGTTGATGAGCGAAACATTCATTGTTGATAATGTGAATGATGAATACACCACATCTGTTTATATTGATGACACAATTGGAAACAATACTGTCTTTACCTATACTTGGTCTTACGGAGGCGAAGCTGAACGCCCTATAATAGAATTGATCCCATTTTCGGGATGTATTTATACCACTGAAGACACGAAGGAAATATACCATTGCAGCGAAAACCCGACAATATCTGAAGGATATAAAACAATTCGATTTGAAATCCCGGGAACAGCTCAGGTATTATTTTAATTATCCTAAATTCGAATACAAACTTTTTAGGACAATTGAAATGCAACCGACAATCGAAATTATAAGGTCGACTAAAAGCCCATCTTATCAGGTACCAATGAAGAGTATTCTTGAATATGTTACATGGTGTAGTCCCGATGTATGTTCAAACTAACAGATATTCTGCCAATAATAGGTACCGTAATTATTGTCACCGTGAACCCATAATGGCGCTATCAAACTATAGGGGGATTCTGCAATAATTACAATATTATTTTTTACAGACCGGCTCATGGGAAAGTCGTGTTAAAAAAAGAACTTCCAACAGCCAGACCGTTGTTGTATTTGTTACCTCGATGGCTGCAGACAAAGACACTCCGCCAATTATGGTTGCATCTGTATTGAGTCAAAAGAATTACTGTCCTTTAGTATACGCAACGGTAAGAATAAATTATTTTACTGTATAATTTTCTGCAGTATTATCCACGCAGTCGCAGTCGATATCTCTAAGCTAAGGCTAATATATATAGAAGTATATTGAATTTTTCGTTTGATTCATTTTGAATACCTAATCTTTAGACTCAAAATTTGAACTGTTTCAGCTCAAAATAAAAGCTTGTAGAACAGTGATTCTCAATCTTCTTCGTATTGTGACGCCCTCCAAAAAATATGCTCAAGTTGCGACTCCCCGTGAGAAACATCCTGATATATTTAGTATGCAGCAAAATTTTGACCAGTTAGAGGCCTGTTATCTAATAACCCTAAACGGCAGTAACATCGCATCCCCAGTTGCAACAAAAACGACGGAACTTTTTTACTCGAAACTTGAACGATCCAAAGTCCAAGTAGCATCATGTTTGCGATATTTCTTTTTATATTTTTCTTGTTCAGTATCATTTTTACACTTGTACATTTCTCCAGTGCAATTTTATATTTAATCATTTCCTGTGCATCGCAGTACAAGTACAAATCCGCAAAAGGAAAATAGAAGTTTTGCGAAGCCCTAACACTTTGAGAACTACAGTTGTGGATTATTTGATAACCATCAATAAAGAATATTTTCATTTGAATCAAAGAATACTCCATTCACTATTTTTTCACAAACCAGGTAACACAAGGACTCAATCCAGTACTCGGGGCCCATGTCGAGGCAGCGCTCGCTAAAGAAGGCGAAGGTTCTTCGACGTATGACTTATATGACAACGGAGCTGGTAAGAGATTGAGGCAAACTAGTTTTCTCACTTAGACAAAATGCAAAAACATACTCGGTCTCATATGTATATAACATTCTTTTTTAGAACCTGACATTCGTAGGAACGATGGCGTGTATTCCAGATACTTGTGTACAGGAAGCATACATGGGAGATATTCAGTTAAGGTTGGTAACCCAACATATTAACAACGTTTATATGTTAAAAACTCACTACCGACACTCGGAAACCGCTTGGTTTCTCCATGGGTTTGTCACAACACAGACGTGAATACTCCATCCTTCTCAGAATTCGTACAGCCTACCAAGTAGTGTGCAGCGAGCATAGCGCTGTCGCTACCTATCAGCAGCGGGCAGATGGAATAACAGGCGGACCCGCCGGACCGCGTGGTTTTGTGTCTTCATAAACAAAACAAAACGTCAAGTGTCAAACCACTGGAGCATGCAAAAAAAATCGCAAAACCTACATAGCGTGCTCACAGAGTACCAATACAGAGTACAGAGTACAGAGTACCAATACTTCTCCTTTTTTTCTTTATTCATCAAATCTATGAATATGTTGGCCGGTACTTGGTATAGCCTATGGTAATTTGTAATAGCAGTGGAATATTTTGTTTATTCCAGGTTAAAGTATATTCAAAATCGGATGGTTCGGTCGTTGAAAGTTCTGTCAGACACTCTAGAGCAACTTATAATCCAGGTGTCATTGATGAGAACGGTTAGTTCATATTGCCTCATATATCCTTTTATTACGGACAGGTGATATAGTATACCGCCCATTCCGACTTGATGACACTAAAATCGATAGTTACCAGACTGTACATCTGGAATTCAGATATTTTTAAGCTGCATGATATTGTTCCAGTCTTTTTATGAATTTCACCCGAAATAACGAATTTATCCCTAAAGTAGGCGATATATATATAATTGGAGTATTGCGTTGAACAAAAATGCATTTGTATTTATAAAGGAAATCTTGTCCCCAATCCCAATGGACCGACATTATTACCAAGAAATGTAACATTTGGAATCGACTCATCACGGTTGGGAAACTTCAGTCGACAAATTTCACCAGGCGCTTTTGAATACACACCGCCGACACCGCCACCTACGGGGTAACGCAACATAACTGTTTAGTTTAGTAGTTATAGGAAAATTAACTTTTAGTCTACTGAGAATTGCTGTGTTTCAAACATGACTGTGGAGCCGGAGAAGTTTTACGATTGATTTCGGATTGAAAAAAAAACGCGATTCCGAGGAGAAAATTTTGACTTCGACTTCAGCTCCGAACTCGTAGAGAATAAAATTTTGATAACAAAAACTATGTTTTGTGGAAGCCTTGTCCAATAGATTGCTAGGACGCTTAGTGCTTTTTGAGCTTCTGTTGAAAATTTGACTTCTCCATCACCATCGAAAGTCCTAGACTCCTTGTTTATATCAGAGTAACAGCGACCTCTTGAGATTGATTTTTATTTACAGTGGAGGGACTACATCATCGGATATGTTCTCTCCGAGTAAAGTATTTGACTTGAAAGCAGCACAGAACGATTTCACGAACTATACAAAAGGAATTGTTTTAACTTTTACTGCACCGGGAGATGATTTTGACAGTGGGAAAGGTAGTTCTCACCTATAAAGTCTAATATATTATCACAACTTCTTTTAGCAATCGAGTTCGATCAATCGAGTTCTTTAGCAATAGAGTTCAACATTAGGAATTATAATGTTGATGTGGCTTTGTATTTTATTTATTATTATTCATCAATTGATTGCCTACTACTTGGAAGTCTCGACAAAACAACTCCGCAACCGAGCTAATATTTCTGACCAGCAAGATACAACAGATAAAATCGTAATTACATGATTTTTCAGCCTCAAAATACGAAATTCGATATAATTCCGAAGATATGAATGCTTTGCTCAGCAGTTTTGAGTCTAATGCAGAGATATACCAAGACACTGTAACCGAGGGAAACATTTCTGATCCTTCTATGGCTGGTACTATTGAACGAATTGTGATCAAAACACCTAACTTTACTAATTCTGCTACTTCCGTAAGGTAAGTGAGCCATAAGAAAACAAGAATATCTAGATAATTGCACGGAAAAAGCAATTCAATACCAAATTAGGACATTTTGGGATAAAGATAATTCGCTCAAATCGAGTTCGCACGCCCTCACACAGTAATTATTGAACTCATCTATGAGCGAATCAATCGGTGAACACCACTTAATTGTAAGAAGCTACTAAAACTTTATATAATCATAGTGGTGCATTACTATCAAGCAAACATTGATTAACGTTGAACTTGAGTAATTCAAATGCTATGAGGGGAAAGGTTATAAAGTAGTTAATTTCCTAGCAACGGACAATATATTCATTCCAACTATTGTTATATTTACTGTAAAAAATTATACCAATCATAATATTTTCAGCATTGGATATGCCATTCGAGCAACGGACAAGGCCGGAAATCAAGCTGATATTTCTAACGTCGCTATCATAAGATATTACTTCGAACCTCCAAAATTTGCCCTACCACCAGATACAACTTCCAGTCCATATGAGTCGACTTTAGCTTCCACCAATGAAACTTCGACTATAGATTCAAGCACCGAAGCTAGAACTGAGGCCTCAACAACTACGAAACTACCAACTGTGTTGAGTACAAAGCTCACACCGTTTTCAACAGAAAAGCCGAGCAAAAGAAATTTATACATTGGGATTGGAATTTTGCTGTTAGTACTTGTTGCATCGTTGGGTAAGTAACCTATTTTCGATACTTTGCTAAAAACATTTGGTTCTTATCTACCACAAAGAAGTGAATATTAATTGTGAATTGGTTTTGTGATTTGCCGGTGAAAAACAGACTCGTTTCTTGTGCTTACATTAGACCTGAGCTTTCATATGGTTCCTTTAAGCTTTCTCCAAAAACTTAAATCAGACATTCAGACCATTTATTGTCTTATCGTCTTTTTCGGTCGATAGATTGACTCTCATAACAAACAATTTATTACAGGAACTGCGGTATCTATTCTTATTTGTTGGCTTTGCTGTGGAAATAAATCTTCAAGCAAATCTTCAAAGCCCAACCGATCTAAGCCGGATCGTGAAACAATAGAAAATCCGTATGCAGATGCTTTTGAAATGAGGAATATGGAAAACGGCACGAGCAAACAATATGGACAGTATCATCACAAGAGTACTGCGATACCTAGACCAAGCTCATTATATGCATGAATTCAATTTATATTGTCTGTATTCGTATACCACGCCAATCTGAACGAACGCATTTATTATCCGCAATTATGCGGATTATTTGTTTAAAATGGTATTCGTTATTTCTCCTGCTTAAAATCGAGAATGACTTTTCGTAGTTCCAATTATATATTTAGATGTATCAATTTCTAATTATGAAAAATCTTTCTTATTCATAAAAATAATAATTTATTTTCATATCATATTTTTTTAGTAAACTTACTTTTAGCGTTTTGTTTGGGAATGAAAAATATTCAAGATGTAAAGTCTTCTACATCTGGGTGACTTCAATATGTTTTATTTCTGTTGGAAGTATCGTTTGTTATTTAGAGATTGGCATATCCAAATATTGCGATTGAGCGTCCTGGACAAATTATCAAGATTGTTTTTGAGTCAGCAGATCAGAATAGAAAAAACAGGTCTTTAGAGTATTTAAAGATAAAGAATATTAATCAGATCGGTCCAAACTGTCAGTACTGTCGTCCATTGATTTCAACTTGATCTCCATTAACCTTACAAAAATATTTTACTCGACAACATTTTTCTTCAGGCTAGTTTATATCACAATTTATTCTATCCGATGTAATAATAATAAAAGATCAATATTGCCGAAAAGTGCTCATGTACGATCGCAACAATATTGAAAAAGGTTTATATTTCTTTAGAATAGCATGGGTTATGATTATTTTCAAACGGTTCAAATCCTAGTATGTTGATGAGATTTACTCTGGTTTAGGTAAATCATGTAAATGAATATATTTATATCAAACTCAAAATCTATCCCGAAAGTGAATCCCCTAGATATATATAATCTCTAATTTCTAATTTTTGAGTGAATAGAGACCGACATTTCCGCATATGTCAGTTATTTGGCAAAATATTGACATCTTTAGGAATTTCTGAGGAATTCAATATGGGTGCATTAACTGTATATTGTATGACCGTATTACCTAATTAGGATGTGTGGAAATTCGACCGTAATATTGTTTAATGCGCGGTTAGAATTACGTAAACTAAAAACTGTTCATCGAAAGCGAACATTCCGAGCGGGCATCCACAAAAAGACAAATATTTTTCAATTTAGCAAGGTAGAATCAATTGTAATTTTCTCGCAGTATGATCCCGCCTACGCAAACGTATAGACGCGTAAAACCACGAAAGAGGTATGTTTACATGTGCTAGACGTTTTTACAGAATAAATATTAAATTTTGTTGTGATTATTTGCATATTATGAGATCGTATGTCTGTTGTTATTTATTGAAATGAAAAATCTGTTATTGTTACAGTCTATGGAATATTATTTTTTTCTCATCGTCTTGAGTCGATCAAAGAAATAATCCAATATCAGACAGAAAAGGTTATGTTTATGGATATGAAAAAGGTTATAGCTAATTGAATATTAAATTCTTACCATTCGAGAATGACAAGTTTTTTTTTTTAACTTAACAAGAAGCAAGGAAGTTTCGTTAAGCGGGTCAGATATAGTTATTGTTCTATAGGTAAACCTCAACACGCTAGTTGTATTTTAAAGACTTATATGAATACTCGTGTTTTAAAGAAATAGGAATATAGATAATACCGGCACTATTTTCAGGATTCTAGAGTTAATGGTGAGAGACAGGCGGACAGTTTACCACCACTGAAATCGATCAAAGTTTCCGCGTGACAAACATTCAAAAATTGTCAAATTAATATAATTCATTGACATGAAACTTTTTTATTTAAAGTGATTAGTCCTTCGGAAAATAACAATCGAAAAAATCTGATATCCAGATTGACACCACGCTTTGAAAATCGTGCCCTGTTTAGCCTAATTACACCGATTGAATCAGCGCATAATGATTACGCTAAGTTAGGCAAAAATGTATCAAAGCAGTAATTAATCAATTACCGTCGGAATGACATTTTTATGACGCCAACGAGGTTAAAAATATGACAACTATATAAAAGTACATAAAATCAATAGCATTTAGCCGTTATACAATCAATTATATACTGTAAATGCATTACAAACTAAAAGTTTATTCCAAGATTTTGATAGTCAAACTATATTAAAATTATAGTGGATAAAGAAAAATTAACCGAATTTTTCAACAGTAACGTAAAAGTTTGACCTGGGTCGAGTTCAATGAAACTATTCAATTTAAAAAAAAATCCAATTTTTTTGTATTTCACAGTCAATAAATCGACAAAATATGTAACAGAATAATATGTACAGGTGTTTCATTACCGGCTATGAATATTGTAGATTACTTATAACGACGAAACCAAATATTACACATTTTCTTGAAGTCGTGTACTTGAATTTCTCCCTTTCAAATATACTCAATCTATGAGAGATTATTTCATATTTCTTGCCACTAGAAGTCAGGTTACTTCGGTCAGATAAAAAATGAAAATTTCAGCCGCAGCAGCAGCAGTCACGGCTTGCAAGAATAATTGCTTGTATGGAACCTCGTTTGCAGCAAAGATAAATTTGATCAAAAGAAATAAATAATTCGAAAAAATAAAAAATTCAACTAGGAATTTGACAGTACGTGGAGAGGTACGCGTTTCAAAAAAAAACTGACAAATTTTCATAAAGTATATATACATGCAACTATGATCGGCGAGATATTATAAATAACGAAAATCAGATATATATAGATATAGAACGAATAACATTGATTTATATATTTCTTCGATATGCGATTTCCCGAACGAAAGACATCAGGTAAGTTATCAACAATTATACCTAATTTCTGTAACTGGGTAGGAACTTACATAATATAATAACATAAAACCGTTTTTGTAAATCATTTGTATTTACACAATAGGCATATTAGCCTACACGGAACATCTGAAACTTCGTTATGTACACTCGTGTGTAAAATTATTCGACCTTCAAACCACTATAAATTACATTTTAGTCTTCTTGACTTTGAAGTAAAAGATCAATTTCATCCAATCGCGGTATAATGTTAATGAGTTCCGCGAACACAAACTCAAATGTTATTTCTAACAATAGTCGTTTATTTGTTTTTGCGTATGTCGTCAAATGTCAATTGTAAATTTGAAGCTTTGTCATGTGTAATGAGTTCTTCATACTGTTTTTCCCTAATCATGCGGGCTGCAGTAACCTGCCTTAGGTAATAAAACATAAATACTAAAATCTCAAATAAAACTGATTTATATGTGAAGTCAACTTGATTTCACGCTTTTTTCAAACCCTGTAATTAATAGTGACGTCACAAAGCGTACAAAATCTGCCACATAAAGGGTATGCTGTATAAGTATCAAATATTTCTGCGAGATTTATTCTACTATTTATTTTGCGAAAATTAAAAGGCAAATTTAGGCACGAGAGGACATCGTTTACTGAAATATTTCCAATTTCGGTAAAATCAAATTCCCCGCACCTGCTGATATTATTGAAGAATGAGATTGATAATATTTAATAGCCTAATTGAAGTGAATTAAAATTTAAAAATAAACTGACCTAATTTCAGTAATGATTATACGTATATATAAAATTGACATTGGTACAAAAACTAAAGTGACTAAAATAAATATCGTTCTTATACATATGGTTGCCAATGAGTACAGTACGGTGGTCTGTTGTTTCGTCCGGACAGAAAGAATTAACAAATAAATGTGAGGTATTTGGTAACTAATTAGCCTGCAAATTATTGTAATAAAGCAAGCCCGTTTTTCAAAAAAGATTCAGAGGGATATAGAGACTGTTTATATATGATTTTCCTCATAGAGTAACGACGGCGACATGGTGGGTAACAGGTTGTTTCAACTAAGTGGAAATCCTAGATCGTGAACGTGCCGTGGTTACTCTTTTCTTGCCTCAACTCGGTTAAGCTGTGCTAAACATAAAATCTCCGTATGGTTAGAAGCGAAACGTTTTTATTTCTTGACTTCTTCAAGTTTTTATTATTAGAAATGGTTTATGGAATATGCGAGACGTTACGATAATAATGGGGAAAGTAACCCTTTTTGGTGGCGCGTCAGCCTTCTTTGCAAATCCCCTACCTCAAAAACAAACAAAATTCCTGGCAACGTATAAATAAACGGCAAAAGGAAGATGCATTTCAATCATTCCATGCCACGCGGACAATTAGTTGACGTGTTTATGTTGGCGAGTTGTAAATTTTATGTTACCCACGTGCGGGTGTTATAAATTCCGTTACGGTTAGAAAAGGGAATAGATATATGATCATCAACTGAATCCAAATGATAAAGATGGATATAACTTTCTAACAGTAAAAATTTGGGGATATATAAATTGTACTATTGCATGATCGAGATTTTTCTACTCCGGGATTCGAAAATATTTACGGAACTTTAATCTTACGACACAATATTCCGTCCGCCAGATTTGACAATTTTACCATTTAGATTATCTTTATCAAACGATTTATTCCCAAATTTCTGACAAACTCTATAGCTATATTTTTGCAAAATTAGTAATTAAATGCTTTTTTTTTATGTTCAATGGTGCATGACCAGTGCTGGAAGTTGGTTCAGCCGATCCCGTAACTTAGATTAGAACCGCATGATAAAATCTCAAGTGGTAACAGTCCAAGATGCAAATACCTACCTGGAATAATAAAACGATTTCAACAAAACATAACTTGCTGTACTTTCTAAAAATATTGTGTGAACAATACCGTGTTTTTCAATGAGGTTTTTCGCAACTTTACTCGAGTGAAAATTATGTGCATGCTGTGACGCTTTTAGAATATCAAAAAAATTTCAGGTTCGGAATTTTCTACCTGTATTACTTTGAATGGTTATTTCATTTTTTTAGTGTCTGTCCTTAATCTTCAACGATATAGGAATATTTTCAATCGCCATTATGCCTTTGTCAAACATTTGAAATGATTGCATAGGTCGCTATCGACGAGTTCCACGCATGGATGTCACGATTTATGTATGTGCTAAAAGAGAAGAAAGAAAAAGAAAAAGTTTTTACTCGGGTGGTAAATTTTTGACTCTCGCTCAATCTGTCATTTAAGAAGTTTCAGCGTGCACCTGGATCAGAAGGAAGGATTACATACCTCCGGGTTTACGTGCAATTGAGAGTGTAAATAGCCAGAACAGTTATGGGTCAACGGATAGTTTTGATTCAGGAATAAAGGTCTCAGCTAGGTGAAATTAAAATAACAAAGAAATCTATGTTGCGCTAATTTTGATATCTGGCAAGAGTTCGGTTGAACTCAAACTGTTAGTCCGGTAAAGTGAGATAAAAAAGTTCCATTGATCAGTTAGCTTATGTAACAATTGTTGAAAGGTCTAACAGGTATAATGCAGGTCCTTGCTTCTGATTTTTGAAATAGAAAACGGTGAAATTAGCGGTTTGGTAGTTACCAGAATGAGCGGAAGGAGTAATTGTGCGTAGAAAGGCTAGGGTTTAGTCGGTCAGCAAAAAAGTAACTTTTAAAAGAGGTAGCCAATTTGGGAAGCGAGTACTTTCTTCAGCAATGTCGCAAAGATCATTATTTTGCTTTTTTAAACACAGTTGTAAGGAACCGGCTTTCCGGACCCTGAATAATCTATTTCGACAGACTAAGAATTTTGCATCGTTTTCGGTAATTACCGGCAATCTCAAAATCAAAATATAGGCATCGCTTCCCTTTGGGTTTTTCGATCCAATTTTGAGTAGATAGTAATCATCAGGCGGGTGAAACTGTTTCTAATTTTGAAGAGTAAACGCAGGCGACACAAGTACATTATAGTATTATGACGTAACTATTATAGGATTTTCTATAAAATTGCGACAAACAGGACGGAGATCGTGGAAAATCACACGTTGTAAGACGTATAACTATGTTGTGCGCTTAAATACCACTTATAAATTTAGATCGGCGGTTTTATACGTTACGTTTCCTGCTAGATTAAAACAAAACCAATTATAGCTTCAGCTAAAGTGGCAAATTAAAAATAATAATACATTCTGCCTGGTCCAAGTCGATAATGTTTGTTCATCAGAAGTGAATAGCGATATAAGTGGTCTTATTAAGTTGCGTGTGATCCAAGTTATTCTGATTGATCGGGCGAGCGTGGGCACTGCCAGTGGGCACGTTTTATCTCAGGCGCAAGTTTGAAATATTGAATTGAAAATCAGGAAAGGATCGATTATTTTGTTAGGAGCGATCGCCATGTCGGTCAAAATTTTTGATGATTAAAAAAGGTTGCAAATCATTGTAAATTATTCCTTGTGTGGTTTTAATGTGAATATTGATGATACACCAAGTTTTCATATGTCCAATTAGTAGGTCGTTAAATTACATAAATTACGTTATGTGATCATATAAGAAATACTGAATAGACCTGATTTCACGTATTTTAATTAATAAATGATTTAAATTAGCAAAAAAATTAGAGTTTTCAAAAATATTACAGTAGATATAATTTATGTGTTTTATATTTTTCTAATAATATTTTGTTTATTTATGTGTCGTATCGTATGTGTCAGCCATTATTAATCACATTTTTATGTTGTTGCAGCTTTATGTGCTCACATTATTTTGTACTAGGAACTCATCATCATATACGTATATCACATAAATAAATAAATATCACACTATCGTCAAGTGAAAATTACCACTTTGTGAGGAGATCTAGAATTTTGATCAAAATTATTGTGATTTCTCGTTATTTGTACTTAAGGAAAAAATAAACAATATTTGAGAGGGATTTTATTTTTTGTGGTTTTAAAAAGACAAGTACCCATAACACATAATGTAGATTTCAAAAAACTGGAAAACTGAAAGGTTAAATATATAAGTAAGCCACAAGGTTATCGTTGTGTCTGTAACCCAATAAGGTAAAAAAAAACATGAAAAACATTTGCGTAAAACGTTGCCAAAGTGCGACCTGTTCAACGTAACTCGTGCGCAAAAATTATCAAAAACTAACATTTGCATGTGAAAAATGTCTCAAAATGCAGCGGTGCAAATCATTGCTATTCATGATGTTACGTTTTGGTGTTTCGCTATCATTTCGTCATGTTATTTAACTCCTTTCGAAAATGTATTCTGACACTAGTCAAAAAAATCGGCCCATAAAACATTGATAATTCATGCACGATTATATTTAACGCTCCTACCGATAAATCAAATTTGACCTCAGATTCGAACCTTATATCTTCGCACGTGTCAGTCAATGTATATCATCCATTACAGATGTGTTAGCCACCTTGCAGGGGCCGTGGTAAGGCATGAGCTGATCGAAGTAAGCGTTGACGTAAATGGTACAAAGTTCCGTCTGTCGTTTTCTGACAACTGTCTCGTGGAAGCTCTCACGCACCAATACATAGTTGTTTTTGAAATACGTTTAATTTAGTTCAAGTTAGTTTATAAAAGTATATATATATGTATATAAAATTAAGTTTTCTAAACCATATTCTGCACTATTGTTTTTTTTCTTTACCTCCGTTGCCTATAAATCCTGACAATACAGGCGGGGTACTAAGATACCAGCAACCTTGCCATGTTTGTTGTACCAAACCAACAGCGCGAAGTCAGGAGAGACAAAATAATCGCTTTGGTACCTCTCTTATTAGTTTCAGTCAAACTGTCAAAATTACTGCCTTGTATTCAGTTCTGGCATAGGATCATTCGCAACTGTATCGATAATCTTACATTTTATTTCAGATTTCAATGTATTGAGTAAATTAAATTTACCAACCCCACAGAAATAAACTGCGAAATTAGCTTTCTAAAAAATATTTCGTGTGGTGACAATTTTAATATTTTAGTGGGATACGAAATAAAGAATCGAAATTCATTTAAATTGTCTACAAGTGCACGTTTATCGACTACGAAGCCATTATATTAACTGTTAGAGTTTTATCAATATTCAAAATTACAAAGAAGTTAATACAATAAAGCCACTGTACTCTTTATTCATGTTTTGTTTTATTATAGTACATATAAAATTAAAGTTTCAAACAGAAATATTAGAAAATAAACTTTTGAAGTATATAATACGCCAGATTAACGAAAAAATTCGCTATGGATGGTGAAATAAACCCAACATTTGAGGAGGTTAGTATTTCATTTGAAATTGATTTTTATTTCAAATGGCTTCCAATGTGAGTATTTTAAAATCAATCATGCTACAATCTTCCCCTTTTCAATCTAAGTGACAAAATATAATTTAGAATATGGCTATTTCCCACAAAGTCTGCAATTTAAAATAAATGTATCGTTTGCTCCTGAATATCAGACAGATCAAAATCTACGATTTTTGTAGGCGGATTAACTATTTTTCTACAGAATATATAATTTTACCATAATTTTGCCTTGCATTACTGGAAGTTTGAAATTGAATTACCCATAATGCTTTTGCTTTATTGATAAAATATGTGAAAACTTGATATCGAACTTTTTATTAAAAACCAATGCCCTATAGGTTTCTCAATTCAAAATAAAACGGCAATATATCGCCCTCATAATCCAAAAAAGTGTATTTCCAGCTCCAAATACTTTCGAGTTAGTGGCAGGCCTGGTCTTGTATTACTGGATTCGAAATGAGTCTCGCCGTTGCGACTCTCAAATCTACAATTAGCATTGTATAAGATGTGATAAAATTTAATAAAAAAGCATATGTTAAACCTCTATATATAGCCTTCAATCTTGTTTGATTGAGAAAATGACTGATGTTCTTGTTCCCTGGTTACTTTATCGCACTAGCTTTTTGACAGAAAAAATTAAAGGAAAAAAATTATACGTGGAGAGAATTGCTTGAAATCCAAGCAAATATTTATAAATAGGGCTTGTGGTTGAACTTAATTGTTATCTATCAAATCTTTTCACGTCAAATTGAATGATCACATCATATGCAATACTGTTGAACAAAAACGCAAATCGGTGGAAATCCTTTTAAGTCGGCTATAGTTAAGTTGGCGGTGACTTTATACTATTTTATTGTAGCGATACCAGTTCTAATTCCATTTACTCGTATATTTCTTACACTTTTGCTCTTTTATTCTTGAAAGACCTATGTCAACAATAATTCCAATGAAATATTGTCTGAGGACGCCGCCAGTAGTTCTATCAATCTTCCCCAAACGACGTGACAGTAAATATGAAATACTAGACACCGATCGTTTTATGAAATATTCTGCTTATTGACCGCGATAGCTAATATTTGTTTATTCCGTGGGTACTCCTGAAGTATGCGCACCAATATGTCGCATAACCTGAACCCTAACCTGGTACACAACCTGAGTTCAGGTTGTGCACCATCTTGGTGCGCATACTTCAGGAGGTCCAAAAAGCTTATATATTCGTTACATATAGGCGCCATATTTTAGACATCTTTTAACTGAATGATGCACACGCGTTATGAGTCAGAAAAGCAGATAAAAATATGTTTTGGAACAGAATCATTGTCAATTTCAAACTTGTATCAAATTTTAACGTTTTCAACTCAAGCCAACTTCACTTGCTGTGTAGAGGCATCTAATAAAGAGGCAACTATTGAGACGTATGAAACAATATGATGAATACTACATTGAGTTATTTTGAACTCACAAAACAGCTCGATTCAAATATGAACTTTTTGTAACTTTGAGATTTTCATAATCATTACGATAGCATTCGTTCTTGGTCTCGGTCGCATTGAAGATGATTACTCATTCGTCGATTGAGTCACTACTGAAAAAAATTTCAAAGTCACGTATTTTTACACGTTTTTTTATCACCATTCGAATCTTTCAACTCTATTTGATGCAGTTGCTTGCAAATTTTAATCAAATATTTTTTCTTCAGACTGAAGACCACATTAATAACGAGGGTGCCGCGAGCGATTTTGGAAATAAAAAGATACGGGAAAATGGCAACGTTCCGGCAGAAAATCACGATAAAAATCAGAATAAAATGATATACGAAATTAATGAAAGTCCTAGATGGCATGTTTGCATTATTTTAGGCATACAGGTAATAATTTTCTGTACAAGTGTGAAGATAGTGTAAATTAAACTTGCTTTTTCGAGTTGGAAGTAGAAGGAGTAAGAAACAAACAAAACACATGCAAGACTCCTATTTATTTAAATATAATTGAAAATTGTATGATCTCCTATAATTGAAAATCAAAATATCCTTTTTTGAAACAATAAAAGACTAAACTAACCTGTCAATTTAATTAACTTCACTGCTTATTTTTGAATAAAAAAAATCGTTTCGCTGTTAATTGTTTATTTTTCTACTCATTACTGCAGCGATAAAATTGCGTCCTATGTCCATGAATATCATAATTGCAATCTTATCGCATGACGGTTTATTGTTTTGAGTTCCTCCCAAAACGAATTCGCAGATGCAAGATATAAGCGCAAACGCAAATTGCTACAGACTCGTATTTCTCTAATAAATTCGTCATATTATGAATTTGTTATAAGTTGTTGTTAAATTGTCAGTGACAAATTGTCTGGCAATCAACTCACATTTATGTCTAATTGTGGGTATATACAAAGCTAATTATCATAGTGGAAATTTTTCAAACGGACGTTGGCTTTTAAAACATATTATTAATATTTTTAGCACTGCTTACTTGCGGTTGGAGGCTTGGTTGGGATGCCACTTATAATAGGAAGAAGTCTTTGTATGTTTGATGACGACGTTGGATATGTTGGCCGCGCGATGGTGATAAATGCAATGTTGTTCATTTCTGGAATTGTAACATTTATACAAACAACGTTTGGGTCCAGGTTGGAACTAGTCACATTCTCTATTATTATTTTTTTTAGGTTTAAATTGTTGTTGGGTGCTAGATGCTTACAGTCACTTCTTTCAGTTTTTTATCGGTCTTTGCTGCTGCCTTGGTTTCTTTCACACTACCTTGCGATTTTTTCCCCCGCCTGTTCTTCATTTGCTTCTCGAGAGGTTTAAACAATGTGTGCATAATCTCAGTGTCATTCAACGTCCTATAACCTTATATTATACCCTTTGTTTTCATCACTTCTCCCAATATTCCAGCTATCGCCCCATCTCTGTATGTATGTGTGTGCCACATAAAGTTACCATCTAGTCACATCCTTAAATTACCAAGTCTTTTTATTTTGAAGGCTACCTATCATGCAAGGTGGATCATCTGCTTTTCTTCCTGCAACACTGGCAATACTATCCCTCCCTCACAATCGATGTCCATCGGCTCCAATAAACAACACAGATTTAACTAACGGTACTGTGATGTATAATGATACTGACGGAACTTTAGTTGATGGTGCGGAACTATGGCAAAGACGAATGCGAGAGGTTGGTTTGCTTAAAATGTGTTTCAATAGTAGGTGATAGGATGTATAAGACAAATCAGAATACTGTATAATGTATATCTTTTAGTGCCACATGATTTGGTATGGTATATATTATACAAAATGCACCTAAACTCAATCCCGAAACAACGTAAGTGGTGAGTAACTCACATCATATGGTAATCGAGATGTTTTAGAATTACAACATTTTATCGCCATACCGAATTTACCCAACATAGTTGCAAATTGTTTCTTGGTCATTTAGAAAGGAAAGTCGTCACATATAAATTTAAATCCTTCTGTAACATTAATACTGATAACCGGATTGCCAAATGGTACCATTAATTCCTGATTTAAATACAAAATGCACCTTTCATATATATACATTTTTTAAACATAATTTAAAATTTTACTCGAATATTCAGATCCAAGGGGCACTTGCCGTTGCTGCCGTTCTAGAGATTCTGCTGGCGATGACAGGAGTTGTTGGATTTCTCATGAGATTTATCGGGCCGTTGACTGTTGCACCATCTATAACCTTAATAGGTCTATCTTTACTTGACATATCAGGATATTGGGCCTCAGGCCAGTGGGGGATAACCATTTTGTAAGTATCATGGAGCTGAACTTTGTCGAGACATATATTATTAAAGGTTTTCGCAATAAATCATAAGCCGCAGACCTTTAAAATCTCTATTGTTAATTAGGACCAAAATATTTTTCATGGCGAGAAACAATTAATAACGTGCGAGATGGTATTCAATCGACGATATCCTGTCACGCTATTCGGCGTAATTATGTTACATACTATATGTTTATATCCGATTAGAATAGTCAACGATATTTCACCCGCTTTCGAAAAAAGTCAGAATAATGACAGATTCACAATAAAAGTATTTTAATCGATGTCGTTTTATTTTTCGGAGAGCCCCGCTGAACATTAAGATGAATGAGACAGTTTCCCAAATCTATCATTTTGTCTGCTTTCGTATCCGCTTTCAAATTAACTACATATACATGTATCTTTCGACACGGATTTTAATAAATTTTTTTGTTTTTATTTTCAGTACTATTGCTTTGTTGGTGGTATTTTCTCAGTACTTAAAAGATATAAAAGTACCTTTTCCTTGGTACAGTCGAACTCGAGGCTGTTTTGTAAAAAGATCGAATTTTTTCAAGATGTTTCCAGTAAGTATAGTTCATATTTTGTGTATTAAAACGATGTCAAGAGTTTTTTTTCGTATAACTGCTGCATTCGCACCTCTCTAATCAGAAAAAAATAAATACATGTGCAATACGGATACGTTACTTAAGCATCTGGGTAGTGGATAGTATCCATTGAAAAATTGCCCATCGAGAACAATTCCAAGTGTTGTCCGACTAAAAAAAACGGTACTCGCCTGATATGTGAGCCAAGATAGCGGATACCGGAACGTAGTATGTGTACCAGGTTAGGATTATGCCAATTTTTCCTCATTTTAGTTCCATTATGAGTTCGGGGACTAGCCAAGTGAGTCCCGTAGTATTTGTACCTGAAATTATTTACTAACCCTACCCTAGTACACATACTACGTTCCGGTGTCCGCCATCTTGGTTCACATACTAAAGGAGTACCAAAAAAACTATATTGAGAATACGAAATTCACAAAGGTCCAGCCCATGATTGAGCCGGTAGTTCATACCTAATTAGCCTACAATTTGGCAATTTCAGGTAGTGACAGACTGTGACGATTTCCCAAATAAAATGAATCCGCTAACATAAGCTGTACTTTACTCACCTATCCCAAGCTTCTAAAAAACTTCGGTTAACCTGTGCGGTAAAATGACACCTAGTTTTCGTCATATACTTCTTGTTTCCCTCCTGTTAAAAATGATAAAATATTCTTTTACAGGTCCTTCTTGCTGTTATATTAGGAGTTATATTATGCGTCATTCTGACAGCTACCGGAGCATTGCCCAGTAATCCGAGTGAACCCGGTTACAGGGGGCGTACGGATACGAGAATAAGAGTACTTTACAATAGTCCATGGTAAGTAAACAACAGTCTCTCGCGAGATCTAAGAATCTCAGGAGGTGAAATTCTGTTTTCTTCTATTCAGGTTTCAATTTTCTTATCCTGGCCAATGGGGCCTTCCCGTTGTTACAGCGTCGGGTGTGATTGGGATGTTAGTGGCAGTTATCATTAGTATGGTGGAATCAATTGGTGATTATTATGCATGTGCAAGAATTGCTGGAGCGCCACCGCCTCCAAAACATGCAGTAAACAGGTATGTAATCATTGCAAGAATTAATGACGTTCATATTTTAAGTGGTCCAATTTTTTATCAAGCAATAATAATTTAATTCAGTTTTTATAATTTCTTCACATACGGTATATTTTGGTCACTATCAATTTATGCGTACTCCAGTGTCTGCGTTTACATAAACATATTTCCGCTAGTTGTCGGAAAGGACTCCCGAAGTATGTGAATCAAGATGGCGGACACCAGAACGTAGTATGTGTATCAGGTTAAGTTTAGGCCATAATGGTATTCCAATTTTTCTTAGTTTAGTTCTAACGAGCACGGGAACTAGCCCAGTGACTCCCGTAATATTTGTACCTGAAATTATGGCCTAACCCTAACCTGGTACACATACTACGTTCCGATGTCCGCCACCTTGGTTCACATACTTGGGGAGTCCCCAAATTCAAGTTTCTGAAAAGCCTCACATGGAACAAGGGTGGTGCAAGTTTTTGGGAATGGAAAGAACCTGTGTATCGTTTTTTTATGTTGCTGTATTTGTTATTGACTGCAAATAAAAAAAAATTCTATTCAGTTGAACCATCTTTCTAATTTCCGGAGATTAATGAAAGAAAGCGTTTCCTTAGGCTATTATAAGCGATCATTTTTTCCTGGTTCAAAATGAAAGAGCAAATAAGGGTTATTATAACTGTAACTTCTTCAAATTTAGAAAAGTAATAAAATATTGTTTGTATTGCAGAGGTTTAGCAATCGAAGGACTTGGAACTGTACTTTCTGGGCTTATTGGAACATCTACGGGCACAACTTCATACACACAAAATATCGGAGCGCTAGGAATTACTCAAGTTGCAAGTCGAAGAGTGAGTTTTTGAAAACACTAAATTTGTGAATAACATTTTTTTATTGTGCACCATATTAAAATTGTCATTTAAACTTATATTAGTAGTTTCAGTATATCGTATTATCAACAATTAAAGCAGTAGCTTATTGGTGATTACAACGCAATCCGACCTATGAACAAATTTTAAGGAAAATGGCCTGAACTTCCAAAAAGACAATTTAAACTAAAGTTTCTTTGTCTTTCCAATGCAATACGCATATTATATTTCTAAATAATAGGTTCTGCAAGTTGCTGGGATCGTTTTCTTTATATTTGGAATGCTAGGAAAGTTCGGTGCAGTAGTTGTTCTTATTCCGGATCCCGTTATGGCTGGACTCTTCTGTGTGGTGTTTGGGATGGTTACAGCAGTTGGTATATCTAATCTCCAATTCGTGGATATGAATTCTGCCAGGTTAGAATTTTATTATGTCATTGAGACTTTTTTAGACAACGAGACTCAAGTGCATACGCATAATTTGAACCGTATAGTGTAAACAATGTTGCTGCATAATAACCTTCTCAAGCCATTACAATATGGTGTCCGCTTTAGCTATTACAATAGAGTGTTCGCTTTATATTCTAGAACGATTTATCGCACATTGTGTCAGAATATCATAGAATTATATTTTTGCAACAAGTTACATCCATTAAAGAACTACCAAAATAATTTGAACTATCTCTATCAATCTCAAAACACAATAAGGACTGGTTAGAATATGAGTAAGGTTTCGTTTCAATAATTTATTTCTTTTTATAGAAATCTTTTTATCATTGGATTTTCGCTATTTATGGGGTTAATGGTACCAAGATGGGTAGCATCCCATAGGAACGCCATAGACACCGGAGAAGTAATAGTAGATCAGATATTCTTAGTGCTGCTGGAGACTCCTGTGTTTGTTGGATTCGTTCTCGGAGTCTTTTTTGATAATACAATGCCAGGTATATATAACTCTTTATTGATGCAGTAAAAATGCAATATAAAAATGCAACCCTTGCAAATTATTTGACTGATTTTATGTTTGCTTTAGGAACTCTGAAAGAACGTGGTATGTTGGAATGGAGAAAACGTGCTGGTGAAGATAATGCTTCCGAAGAAGAGCGTGAAAAATATAAAAAAGAAGTTGCAAAATGCTATAACCTTCCTTTCAGCACAAATTTCAGGTAACAATGCTTATTTCAAAATATGCTTTAGCGCTAAAGTATTTCAGAAAGTAGTGGTCAAAGACCCGAGCACAGAACAGCATTTATCAAGCAGTGTATTACAGATATTAAAGATTCTTCATGTTAAATAAATTTTTATTAAAGTGGGCTATTTGAAGAAAGTTTATTTGACGTTTGCGAGATCAGTTAATTTGCTAGTCCCAATCTTTTCTGCATTTTGTCGCTATTTTATAATCTGGGAATACTCCTGAATAATATTTTTTCATAAAGGGGGAGAACGTTTGCGAAACATATTTGGTGCTCCAGAAGTATGCGCACCAAGATGCCGCACAACCTGAATCCAAACCGGTACACACATAATGTGTTCAGGTTGTGCGTCATCTTGGTGCGCATACTTCTGAAGGTTCAATTATTTATTATATAACTCTCGTGATATCGTGCTATTTTGTTGTATTTGTAGCTACAATGGTTGACATTTCCCACCATTCAATTCCTAAAAATATCTCAAATTCATCCTTTCAATTACAGATTTGCCAGATACATCCCAATACTTCCAGAGTTCAATACAAAACCACCCAAGACAGAAAAAGAAGATAAAGTTTCAGCGGTCATATAACTGTCGAAATCAAACCTAAGCTATATCGTCAGTACGTAGAAATTGTATTTGAAGCACGAAAGCTAGAATTTGGATCGCACCATCCATTTCACAGCAGTTTAACAATATACATATAACTGTCAAAATCAAATGTAAGCTATATCGCCAGTACGTAGCAATTGTATTTTAATCACGAAAGCTGGGTTTCTGATTTCACCATCCAACAAATTAGCAGTTTAACGATATACATTGTAGTCGTCTTGATTATTTCAATCCCGGTTTTCACGTTTTTTTGCCGTAAACCGTAAGCGTAAAAGCGTTTATCAAATTGGGGCATTGCGATAAACCGCACACCCAATGCTTTTATTACCATCAGACGACCATCATATGCAATTGGCGGTTAATACGATCTCGACGTGTTTCATCGTATATTTACCGGTTCTTTCACAGGACTGATTCCATAAGATAACCCATTTCCCAGATTAAGAATATGAAAAAGCAACCGACATTTAGACAATAAAATATTTGATACACAAGAACACCAAAAATGGGCACTCCATACGTATGTGTACCAATACGGGGGTAACTAATTTTGTTCGCCCATTTTACATCAAGTTGTGTAAGGGGACTGAAACCCATGGGCAGGGGGATATTCACATGGCTAACACAGACAGCCCCCGAACTCGTAATCGGACTAAAAAAAGGGAAACCGGAATAAAATTATGGCCTAACCCCAACCTGGTACACTTACTACGAGAGTACCGAAAAATGTATATATGTTTACCGATAAACTGGTAATAAAACAAAGCATTTAAATGCACTTTACCTCCATTCCATAATAGGCTGCAGAACCCCAACACGAATCCTCAGTTTCAGCTTCACCACGTCAACACATCTTACTTTGTTTATTGTAATTTCTTTCATCAAATCGTACCTCACTTATGTAGAAATCTTTTCCTAAATGAAGTATTTTTCAAAATATCATAATTTTGACTATTTTGAGAAACAACGACAAAATTATTGCAATTTAATATATTATATAAATACTGAAGTGAACATCTTATTGTTTCTGGCAGCGACAGCAAATAAAAATAAAGTTAAAAATGTCTGGAAGAGATAAAGCAAGAACAGGCTAGGCGAGAGACCAAAGAAGAGATGATAATAAGACTATATTTCAAACACATAAAACTTGAGAATGAAATTTTCCCTTTCGAGTCATTGTAGGAATATATTACTTTTAATCGAACACTATAGGTCGGTCACCTTCCATTTAAAACATGTTATTGTTCGCTTGTTTTCAGAAAGTTGTAGTTTCGTAAATATAGTAATATAACAGGCTGTTTTAACAGATACTGTCCCGTGGGGAGTGAATAATGTCATCAATTCCTACCTGATAGGAATTTTAGTGTGAAGAATGCTTAGCTACTGATATATAATAGTTATGAGACTATAGATAGTTTATAACGATCCCATAGTTTATATTCATGATGATATTTGAAATTACACTGTTGTGCGCATTTCCTGAAAATAGATGTTTAGTTTTCAGAAAGCTAAACGTTACGTCAGATTGCACTATACTCGAACGCGTCCCGATTTGCACTTCAGTGTGAAAAGTTTCGAAAACTTCATTACAGGTTTGTGTGTACCATATTCACAAAATAACATATTTCCTAGAGACCTCATTTACTCTAGGTTACTCATTTGTAGGGCTGAGAATGGTTAACCGATTTTAGATGGTTAACGGTTACAATTTATTTTAACCGTTAACTGACATCTAGGTACAGATCTTTTTTATAATGTACAATTACTTCAAAAATGATTGCTATCGCAAATTTATCTCCTGGGGCGTTTAATCTAATAGAATATCACTGACTGTATTAGTAAGGACCCAATAAATGTGAAAAATAATTGAAGTACCAAGATTGCTGTTTATGAAAACTTGACAATGATATATTCAGAATCAGTTTTTGGTCAAAATATATTGTTCACCATTTCATTGCTAAAGCGTATATTCCATGTGCGCAGTTGATGATGTTTTACTTTATGATATCTGAAAGTAAAATTTGCACATCGAACACTGAAAGTTTGTCACATAAATGACATTTAATAACGGAATCGGGTTGTTCTTCAACACTTCCATATGTCCGAAGCACGCTACATACATCTTGCAGCAGAGCGATCATGAAACCATCTCGATTCGTGAATAACTTCGAGTGATGTCGAGATATCTTATGTTTTGTAACCATTGTGGCGTAACACGTTAAAATTATAGCTGCGGTTAACCGGTTCATTTTACCCGGTCAACGGTTAAAGTTTTTTTTCTTTCTGAAATTCCAAGCCCTAGTCATTTGGTTATCACAAAATTCAACGTACATCAATGACACTATGGTTCACAATTATAGCTGTTGAGTCAGAAAGTTCATCATTTTTAACTTCCGCCAAATTTTTTATGGCTAATGCATCAACGTTCAATCACATAACGAGTTTCCGCGTCGTCGAAGTTTGTTGCTAACACTATAGCATTTGGGCCACAGATAAGCGTACTCTAATAGGCAACATATTGCGATACCACGCAAAATCAAACAAAACCATTAGAGTATTTGAGCCATCAAAAAATGAGCGACTGCCATTCTAACAAGGCAGACGAAACAATCAACTATCAGTTTTTTCGCCCTCCATAAGATGAAAATGCGAAATAAATACAGAATATTTTTTGATTTGATATTTGAAAAGATTTAAGTTTAGCAAGCATTTTAGTTTATTGGTAAGCCAAGTTAGCACTCTTTCAGCTCAGCCAGTCTTCAGGTGATACATAATTTATTGATAAATATCACTGATTTTTTCGAGATTTTTGCCAATTTGTTGATACCAATTACTTGATAGTCAGTCAGCGCCTATAGATTAGGCTTGTTTATCGAGGTCTACAGTTTCAGGCCAAATTCATACGTTATTATATAAACTGCTCTGTAGATTTTTTTTCCTTCAGAATATCAGAATAATTAGTGACAAACTAAGTGTCATTTGTCGCTGAAAATACCACATCATGAAGTATTTCAGGGTAGCTCTCATTTCTATATGGCTTATCATCGGAGCCGAATCAGGTGAGATATTACGACATATCGAATAGCGTATTGTAAGTTTCAAAACTTTAAAAAATCAACGTTCAACTCTAATACCTTTATCCCACCAAATAATAACGCCGTACGGGTGGAACAAATTAATTGCCGGTGAATATTAGTTGATCATAGAGAAATGAGTGGTACTTGCCAATAAGTTTTGAAAAAACAAAATTATTAAAAACTGCTTCAAAATTGGGGAAAAAACGTGTTTTACTGCTTTTTCTTTTTGTGCGTTCCCTAGAATAGAATGTAAAATTCAAATTAGCTCACCATCCATTTCTTTCTCAGAGTATTCGAAGTGCTTCAGCAATGTGGTCTGCAGAGGAGGGGGCCTATCCTACGAGATGAAGAGCTTACAGATTTATCCATTTCCTGATTGTTGTGGAGACTCCACAGTACGTTACATATTATTTTTCAATCTGTTGGGATTTAAGTAAAAATAAAGCGAACCATAAAATGACAAATTTTTTAGAATTTACACTTTTGGCTGAGAGCTCACGACCTCGGTATACAAAACAAACACACAGAAGCTCCAAGCTTTTATCGAACTATTGGACCCTCGTGAGACAACAACGAGCGCTTAAAATCCTTTTAATTACGAATTTGTTTCATCAATACTTGAAAGAATCTTCAATATTTCAATGGCGTATTCTGTATTTGGTACAATATGATAAAGATGTATTATTGCTATCGCTAGTGAAAAAGTAAACATACTGAAAAAGTGTAAAGAGCGCCCAGTGATGATGAATATTTCCAAAGGAGAGTCGTTAGTAAACACTAGACTAGTTGACGCTTGCTCAAATTTTTCTTCGTCAATATTGAATTTGTTCAACGTAACCAGCGTGAAAAAATATTCATTACCGTGAATTCTTACGTTGCTCTTCTTGTATGTTAAATATTTTCTCTTACTTTTAGAACGGACAGACAACGATGCTGTATGATCTCAATAGAACTTTGTCAGAACGTATCCAAACATTTCAGCAAGGTAAGAAAAATAACAGACAAATAAAAGTAATTCAGTTATTATTGGTAGGGCCATGTAATGAATTAAAAACATCTTTTTCCTGATAGATTATATAACTGCTCAGTTCTCTTTTTATCGATCAAGTTGGAATTGTAACTTTAAAATAAGTTTGTTGTAAAAAGATATTTTTCGCGACAATAAAGGTATTAAATTCATCTTTATTTAATGTAAGCAGATGATAAGACAAAATTTTTGTAGATAATTTTAGTCCATACATTTGTTTGAAAAAAAAGAAGTAGAATTAACTTTTTGCTTTCATTTCAGAATTGAGCGGGACAACTGTAACAAGGCAGTCAACACAAGGTAACAATAATGAAATTGAAGTTATATTGAGTAACGCCCGTTTATTATACTTGGAAATCTATATTTTTGTCTTAGGGGATAAAATGGCCTAGTCCAGTGTAAAAAGTGTGAATCAGGCAGGCAATTCCGAAATTGGCACGAAACCGGCCATTAATTAAAAATATAATATTCGTACGTAGTGATGTCTGCTTGTACAAAACCGTGTGGGAAGTGTAAGGCCATGGAGATGTTGTATTTAATGAAACATATATATGTTTTAGTGTCATTCACTGGTTGTTTCAAATACGTCATCTATAACGATGTATAGTACCAATATAGGATCAAATTGACGCAATATTTTGTTAATTTTGGCCAATCCGATCCCAGAAATAAAAAACTTAAAAAGTAAAAAAATTCAAACACTGTCATAATCAAATTTAGAATATTCTGTAGAAACGTGAATCGGTGGCGTTGAAAGAAGTTTCTTTGATAAAAAATTGTAGGATATAGTTTCGTAGAAATCCCCAAGAAGAGAAAGGTCAAATGGTGGAATATGTCGCATAGCCAAGACCCCGCACAATCCGGTCCCAACATTGCTAAACCTAGCACCTAGATTAAGTTCCCCATACCTGTTATTGCGAAAGAGCCATTGGTGAGATTCCGAACCCACAACTTTGTAAATATGAGATTTTAATTCCTTTCTCAATTACTTCACATACATCACCGATTTGATTCTTACAGGAGAGACATGCTACGCTCCAGTGACTTGCAACAGTCAAGGTGCAAATTGGATGCAAGTTTACCCACCAGTGTCATGCTACTTAAATAAGGTATGTGTAAATAGAAAAGCTGGCTTAAGGCTCCATTCAATTTCAATCTGAAGTAAAACACACCAGAAGTACATGTTACCATATGGTTCCCGTACATTTGAACCCACGTACATTTGAACCCACGACAATTGAACCTGCATATATTGCACCTATGGAATTTTTTTTTGTTTTGCGGATATTTGAACCCATACTAACCCTAACCCATGGGTTTTAGCCCCCGTATGTAAATTGAACCCACAGATATACACATGATTTCAAATGTACGTGGGTTCAAATGTACGGTCACCGTTACCATATACACAAGAAAGAACACATATATACATGCGGATCGCTGACACTAGCACAAAGCGAGTCAATAGTAAAATTTAGTGAAACAACAACACACTACAGCAATTATTGATGTCTGATTTAAAACGCATTACAACCATCACCATTGAACCGCAACTTCGTAAACAAATAATTACATTGAATTGCAAGGTATATTACAAAGTGTTTCTTATTTGCAAAATATTTGCAATGAAGAGCCCAAGCCATAAACAACTTACTGTTCTCTGTTTATATGACAATTAATCATGCATGTGACGACGGCAAATAATTTATCTCTTACCCAATTACAAATTGATTTAAATTGAATATGAACTTGTCGATTATAATTATACGTTATACATTTTTCAGAATATTGGCTTCGAATTGAACGACGACATTATTCAGACAATGGAGGACGCTATTGATGGCGCTATTCGGGGTACAAGATAAAATAATTCTTCACTTGATAATCAGTTTTGCTATTTATTATTGTTCTTGCTTTATAAAGATTGGAAAATATAAAAATGGATTTTGTAACGTAGTGACGTGCGATCAGGAAACTACTTTGCACTGGAGCAATATCAGGTCATTTCCTTGTAGGAAATGCCTTGCTAGATTTTTCGCTATAAAAATTTGATTTGAACGTGTTTCTATTCTTTTACTACGAAAGAATTCTTAGTTCATTTGCCTTAGTTGATTGACTTAACTTATTCATGTTATCTTCAGAAATGTACTAAAATTTTCGCTGGTAAGATGAAGGCTAACCTACCGGCACTCTTTGCTTTTTACCTTATCATGTTTTTAACGATATATACGTACATATATTAGATGGAGTCAAAAGCCCGTTTCCTGTACCTATTTCGAACTCCATGTTATTTTCAAACCCCGCATATAATACCGTTTCATATCACTACGGTATATACTAAGAACTATTCCTGTTTATACAGCAATGGATGATTCTGTGAATGCCTCTTGTGGACCTTGCGCTCTTACTTCGTCGGAATATTTGGATGAGAAAAATCGCCTTAGATCTACAAAAGTAATACAAGGTATATTCCATCATTATACATGCACAATATGTATTTGTTCTACGTATATACACTACGTAAGCACTGTGTTTATTCTTAGCAAGCCTTGTTTTTGTGAGCGCTAACATTGCATAATCGCACTCAGTGCTACTGGGCTCATTGACAAATACTAATTCTTTTGATAAACTTCTGGGCTTTTATGAACCACTTAGCGCTAGTTAGTTCAGTAACTCTCTTAAATTTTTGCTATACAGAAAATAAGTAATAAATTAAACTTCAGTTTTGGTGCCGCTCACTTTTAGGTATTGAATCCCAGCAACCCTGTGTCGTTCCCGCAACCTGTCTGGGCAAAGAATCAGTCGTGACTACATGGCTGACAATTTTGCCGTTGCCAGAAAAGGAGGGGGCGTCAACCATGAAGGTACAACTTAAGTTTTAAATCATATAAGCATTGCTGCTATTATGAGCAATATAAAAAAAACTATTCTGGTAATTGAGATGGTTTTTAAATAAGCTTCCATTTTGCGCGTTTTTGAATGTAATAAATGCTAAGTAGTTCCGGTCGATTTTACATTATTATCCACCAACAGTACTTGATTAAACTCTCATCCGACCTTTTTGTGAAGTCAATTCTTCAGTTCTGCGAAATACGATCAAGGCCCTACTTTATCCTTGATAACGCATGATATATTTTCATTTACAAAATATTGACCCAACTCTTCGTTCATTTCAGGTGAACGAAATGACCGGTGGAAATGTGGTCGATGCCATGAATGAATCACTGGAGAGGAGCATCAAAAGTAAGTATTTGGCATTTTATATAATAGCTTTTTAAAATAATTTTAACTTTTCCATGTCTCATTATTTTGCTTTTTCGAAAATTTTAGTTGGCTATTTTTCTCAAAAGAAACATTTCTTGTAAACTTTTTCCCGAGGAACGTTTTGTAAGAATCAACTGATAAAGTCAAACAAATACAAAAATTATCCGTGCATAGAAAAGAACTCAAAAATGACCATTTGTTATCGCAACTGTAGTTTGCATATTTGCAATCAAAGAATACGTATGTCCTTCTTCAAAAGGCAGAACATAGACATAAAATGCAAAACACGGAAATGATACGAATTTATATCATAGGTCGAGTGGGTGCAACATAGCCTGTCTAATTTTGTTTTCTAAATGGTTCACTTCCTCATATTGCAACCGCATCGATTGGTAATTACTGAATAATATGTGTCATTATATAATACAAAATTTGACGCAAAATATTTTTTTACCTGAACATTGAATTCCCGTTTAACAAGTTTTAACATATAATCTTAAAAAAGATGTAGCATTGATGTCATCATGTTCGCTTCATTCTATGAGAGTATGGACTTTTCCCCGAGCATCGACTTCCTTGTATACTTCGTAACATTGGCCAATCAGTAAGATGCAAAACGTGACGTAACAATGCCCCCTTTTCGCATCCGCTCAGACACTTTTCTCACTCAGACAGATTTTCAAGCGTGGTTGTAAACATTACCTCGTTTTCGCATTTTTGAACTCTATTCGTTAATTTCCAGTTGTGTTTCGGAAACTTTAATAAAAATCAGATAATTCAATGATCACTCTGTCTTCCTAGGAGTTTTGATTCAATTGCAGTAATAAAAATTAGTGTAGAAATAGCTGTAATGGACTAGCGTGAAATTCTTTACCGGTACTTTTAAAAAACAGATTGTTGTATGCGATGAATCATAATGATGGTTTGAATAACATACCCCATTTTACAGGCGCCAACTCGCAAAAGCATTCTTAAAATAGCCCCGAAAATTTTGCAATGGTAAAGTATAGAAAGAATTTTCCGGGGGTCAAAGGTCGGGGAAAGGTCCATTAAAACGGCTTAGCGAATTAAGTTATTGGAAAACGAATTGGCGTTTTGAACAAACTTATTCTTTATATCATATCTATTGATAATTCATGTTAATAATTTCAGTGATAGAGAACTTCAATGCTGGTAATTGCGGAGGATGTACTACAGCTCCTACTACAACATAAATTTCTATAAACGGCTACTGTATTGTTCAGTTATTATGGTATATATATCATAATTATGCCTGCGTTGATGAACAATTAAATTCAACTTATAACGTATTTTCACCACGCTATGAAACGCCTGGAACGGCCCTTACTTACCCTTACTTATATATATACGCAATTTGGCTAAAATAAATATCAGAGTTATTGAATTAACACATTTAAATTTTTTTGCATAAATAACCATAAAATAAGTTTTTTTCAGTAAATTTCCAGTTTCAGTGAATGACTTTTAAATATATTATGGAAAGAAAAAAAAATTATAATTGTGCTTTTTGTTGGAAAAATAATTTGTGTTCAAAATTTTTTATCGCTGAATTTTTGTTTTATCTCCAGTTAACGAGGTTTTCTTTTATGTTTTGTCAATTTGTTTGTTGCTATCATTGCTACAGATTTTACTGATACAAAATTTATGTATCAAATGATGTTTTATTGATTTATTCCATTCGCTTCTAGTATACATTACAATTGCAAACAGCATATTAAATATACAGGGTGTCTCAAAAGTTTAATTTTGATTTTCCTTTTGAGTATTCATCATAGAGCGTTCATTTCTTCAAAACAATATAGTATGAATAAGTAGCAAAATTTAGGTATTATTTGCATTTTTCACCAACCAACAGAATGACAAGGAAATTAACTAAATAAATGAAATTTATACGCTTCTCGCCAAACAGCAATTTTGCACGTCATTCCTTGAGTTAATTTCCTTGTGATTCTGTGAGTGTATGTAAGTGTATACTTACTTTTGAGACACCCTGTATAACTTGTTTACTAATATTTTGTGACTGATTCTCATCTCTCTCGTCAGATATACAATAGATGTTGCGTGAAGCACAATGAAATAATACCAGCTTTTCATTACAGTATAATAAATCTATGTGTTCTACATCTCTGATTTTTTTCAAATACTAAAATAACATATAAAAATTTACGTAATGGGGCACTTTGAGAACGAACGAATTTTTTTCATCCTGTTGAAGTTTAAGTGTTTGAGATACTTTTTAAACAAACTTCGGAGTCTCTTAAATTAAGTTATCCCTGAAAGCACCTTTAATCCTGTTATCCATACTGGCGCCAGCAGTCGGCACAATAATTCCTTTAATCAAGTTTAACTTGTAATTAATTAAAATTATAATTAATTGTCATTTTTTTTTATTTTCTTCGTTTTATTAAGTTCATTTTTGTATTCTCGCAAAGAACAAAGGGACAACTCGAATCAATAATTGTTTTATTTCATCATCATGGCTTATCATTATTATACGTTGTTTAAGATATTTCCTTTTTTTAGGCCCTAATTATAACTTGAAACTAAGATTGAATATGGTAAATTCACAACGTATTTTCAGTTATACGTATGATTTTCGTCAACTGAATGAACCTAAGTATTACGTAATAATTTGAAGAGTAAAATAAATACCGATGTTGTCAAACGGATATTTTGTGTGGAATTCTGCATTATTATGTTCGCCAGGTGCTTACAATGTCACTTCTGAAGGTATCAGGTACTGGGATCCACGCATTGTGAATTTTCGTTTTGCGTATAGAGAACCGAAAGTAATGAGTTGACTAATCTGGAATCCAAATACGAGAGATATTTGACAATATTGAATACTTGGAATTGAGGAAACATGCGCACAGGAAGTCTGTCATGCCATGATGAACACTAGTGACAGTTATTGGTGTTGGAAATGTCTGAGCAAGGCTTTAACACGAACAAAACAAATTTTCTTCAGTACTTCGGAACTATAACGTTATAAAGTAAAAAATATATTTAAATGGAGACATACAAGAAAATTGCTATTGTGTACCTAAAAATCACAGAGAAGGATATTCTATGTACTTATCCGCGCTGAACAAAAGGTGCAAAAATAGTTAAATATTCGGGTTTTACATATAAATTAGGGTTAGAATAAAGGCTGCAAACCTTCAGAACTTATAATATATGTATATGTCAAATATTTCTCTCGCATTTTTATGATTTTAATTTTGCCACATCGGAAATTTTTTGCTTCAGTTTCAGCAAATATTTTTTATTGAAAATGCGATATGTATATATGTGGTGCGTTGTGCCATGTTTTCATGGCTTGCCAAAAGCTTAGTTTTAAACAAATGAACAAACATAAATAGACCCCAATATATGATTTCTTAATGTAATAATCATGATATTGAATATAATATTGCATCAAAAAAGGTAGAAATAAAATCAGTAAAATGTGTGAACACTCATACCTCGATACCATTCATTCATATCATTTTATCAAGGTTAATATCGATGTTGCCTGTGGCGGGAAGATAGAGTACAGAATGAATACGTCAAAATTACGTGACTGAAGAGTGAATGGTAAACTATCCAGATTTTTCATGAAAAAATATGGAATGTATATACAGAAAATATGTTTCAGCTGATTCTTTTCAGACCTGTAGCTATTTGTATTCGCGATAGTTGTAGGCTACTACTCCATTTTGCCAGTTGCACTACATATGTGCCTGCACACGCGATTTCTAAACTAACTGGTTAATTCCAGACACATTTTCAATAAAACGGAAACAAATTTATAAAAAATGGAAATGTAAAATCAATAAATAATGGAAATGTAATATCAAAAATGATATTTTAATACTCATGTTATATGTTGGTTAGTGTCTTGTTTATCAGTCAAAATACATAAATTTCCATTGCCTATCTAGACCATAGGTTCTCAAAGTGTTCTGTACGGAGCTCCAGGGCTCCGCGAGAGAAACCTAAGGGCTCCGCGAGATATTCGATCAAAAGACGGGCTTGGTTATCCTGTAACCGGTAATAAGCAAAAACACCAATATGAAAATTTGACGACAGTAGAGTCGAAATATGGCAACGAGGTGGTAATTCAAACTTGACAGTATCTAGAAGCAGAAGCGCATTCAGGATTTTTAAAAGAGAGGGGAGGGGGTTCAAAATTGAAATTGGAAATTCCCGGGCAACATTATTCGCGATTAGGCCACTCGTTTAAAATAAACTTTTTCAGTGGATAAGTCAGAAGTAAGATCGGACCCAAAAATTCCAGCAACCAGGCCCGTGGGTATCAAGCCCGACTGGATTTGCAGGACCGAGACCGAAGCAAACCCGAAATTTTCATATCTTATTTAGGAGTTCTTTGAATTGTCATTGCAAGAGTTAAGTACAGTATGTGTCGTGTTGATAAGGCAACTTCTGTTTTTATTGCAGACCGTGGCCAAAACAAGACCGAAACGTCTTATTTAAAAAAAAAATGTCAGCGATAGAGAAGCCCGACCCGAACGTAATGATTGACATTTCAGGCCCGACCGTAAATAACTTAAAAAAAAGTGCTAAACTGCCAACTATAAATAGATTGGAATCGTGTTTTTGCTACCTTGGGATTCATCAAAACATGATCTGCGTAATCATGGGATGTTCTTGTTCCTTGTAATTTTTATTACTATTCCAATACTTTCGGGGAATTGATTTCTGGGGCCTCTTAACCGGGCTTAAAACTCAAAAATTTATATTTCTTCTATTGTAAATATGATGCCTGCTTTAGAGTGTCCTGTCTTGGTAGAATCTTACCTTAGGGGTCGGTCGACCTTGTTGACCTTGGAAGTCTTGCCCGTCCCCTTCCGTATACATTTTTATGCTTATTGTTATTTGCTCATGCTTATTGTATTATGTACTTGTATCGGAAATAAATCATTATCTATCTATCTATCAAATTTGAGTTGTTCTCACATCTCAATGAATACAATTCACAATTGCGGAATCCTTGACCGATGCGCGCATGTTCAAATGCCTTGTTTATTGGTTCACTGTGTTCAACTCAACCTGCGGATGAGTTGACTTACGACAATATAAAATCATTATCACACACAATTACCACGCCAATCCGCGGACCTCAAAGGAAAAACAATATGGAAATTTATTTTGTTTTCAATACCAAAATTAATTTATATAATCTTTATAATTATCTTGTATATCGTCACATATCGAAAAAAGTCGCATTTTGCTCCGTCGGTAGTTTCAGAATGGATAAAAAGGTACATCGAGCGCACAATTATTGTGTTGATTTCAGTAACTAGGTACAACACCCATTGATAACCTAACATAACACCAAAGTTTGCGATTCACAATGTCTAAAAAAGCGTTTTTAATCTTTCGCGAGTCCGCTAAAACAAAAATTATCATGTTTTCTTCCGTTTTATTATTTTATAATGCCGCTTTTCAATCAAGAAATTTGGGTTGCTGATTCTCCTCCTTATTAATTTTGTTTAGCATCTCGTCGCCGATGATTATAGTGTATTAACTTGTTTTCCATACTAAACTCACAATTACGCACAAAGACAAAAACGTAATTATCGTATTCGCGGAACAAGCAAGAAAAATGTGTGATTAGATAGAATAAATACCCACATATAGATGTTACGGTCTAACTAAAAACACGCATCGCTACGAAAACAATCGGTGATTGTTTTCGTAGCGATGCGTGTGTTATGAGCGACTTCTTCATTCTTCCAAAGTATCAAAAGGGAGTTCATTAATATGTGTGTCACATTTACAGGCCTAATATATAAAAATTTATCCGTGCAATTTTTGAATAAAAAGTTTTAGCATTTAAATTAAGTAAGGTATTTTTAACTTACTCAGGGATATTAATCAATCAGTAAATATCAACATGTGTTTTTAGCCTGCAAAATTTATGTGTGGGGCTCCGTGAAGAATAGTCAACCTCTTCAAGGGCTCCGTAACATCAAAAGTGGCCTGGCCTAGACCAGCTTTTCCCAAACTTTTTCGGCCACGGAACACTTACACTTTTTATCTCGTCTCGCGGAACACCAAAAAATGAAAGGGTAAAATTGATAAAGAAAAGGGGTGTCATTTTGCGGTTTCTCGTGGGTTCTCGTTGCCAAATGCGCGAAAACTAACATAATTGTGTTAAACATACCTAAAATATGATTGAATATTTCACATATTGCATTTATTATAAATGTTTCTATATTTAAGTGTTGTGTGTATGAAACAATTCATTTATTTTACCATCCTATGTCGTTTACTTTCCATTACGTAGTGCTTACCTCTAATCTTACGTCTAATGGAGATAGAAGTAGGTTACTTGTTGCAATTTCGCGAGCTGCAGACCTGCAGGTTATTTTTCTACTGAATAGAGTTTAGCGAAAATGAGTAATTTTTTCAGCATTTCAAAGTAAAACCAGGCAGAGATGGAGGTAGAAGAGTTTACTATCTGAACATCTATTCTTTAGACCTACTTGTTTGATGATAGCAAAACCAAAAGGATTTCTGTAAACTTGATAATGAACTTTACAGTCAAAAAACTAGACCCGACGGTTAACGAAAAAGCCACTGACGCTACATCGAACGGTCAGTTGGGCGACCATTTTTGATTTCTTTTTCACGGAACACTTTGAAGACGCTCGCGGAACACTATTGTTCCGCGGAACACAGTTTGGGAAACGCTGGCCTAGAGGCAATAGACAGAAACCATATATCGTCACGCTAATAACCGAATTGCGTAAGCCATTTTGGGCGATTTTGAGTTTTTTATAAAAATAGGTATTTATGTAATGCTGCGCACCTGTCTGTTAACTCAGATTTTATTTTAAGAATACCGAAACTCATAAAAATTGAGATTTTGTATGACATGCACATTTGTGCAATTGTTTCGTCATAATGAATTATTATTGTTACCGCAGGACTATTGTGACGTCACATAGGCAAAATAACCTCGGCCAAGTATTTTCAAGTTTTTGCATTTCAGATTCTAGCTTAGCGCTTTTGAATTTAAACTTATACTACAGTATAGGACGGCGTGCACTTGTGATATTCACTGTCCAAGTCCAATTCACCTTGGTGGCTTTTATATTGGGTGCATTGCTGTTTTATTCTTTATATTTAATCTTAGTCTTATTTCCGTGGGTGTGCAGAGCGTGTTATATTGATGAAATATATATTTTTAAGGAATTTCTTAATAAAAAATAATGTAATTGAAACAGATTAGCTATTTTGGGGATTAGACATCGTAGATACTGAAAATTACATTCGTTTTTGGAATGTTTGGTTTTCAGGACTGGTGCATATAGTCAAGTTGCAAAATTTCGTATGTCCCCAAGTCATAGACACATTTCTGCCTAAGCCACAGTGCGCGATTATGACGTCACATAACTGCGTCATACAAATTACCTTAAATCTGGCTACGATCAACTAATTGAACCATGGCAAATTATTGACTCTCAATGGCATAACAATATCATTAGGAAGTTTTTTACGTTTTTCTCAAAACTGCTAAAAATGACTTACGCAATTCGGGTATTAGCGTGACGATATGTATTTTTTCACATGAGCATTAGATTAATCATTTTAAAAACAGCATATTTCTTTGTTCCTAATCAGGAGAAGGACTCTACGACTGTTATGCCGATTGTGAGTTTTTTTCACGATTGATACTCCGAATAGATGTTTTGCGTATTTTTCGAATAAAGAATGTTTTGAAAGCTGAGATGCCCGTAGCTATGGAATTATTTAATACAACAACGTGGCGTAAACGCATTAAAAAGTCCATCTGAAAAAAAATGCCGTCGAAGCAGATTCTATGTAATATTGCTATATATATAACGTTAAAAAATAAAAATCCATTACCAACAGGAGTGATCGTATAATGATGTAGGGATTGTGGGCTATCTGTTACGGCGTTTCTGCTATAGGTATTTAGTACTGAGCCAATTTGTGAAATTGCTTTTTTTTTATAGCAATATCGAAAGTGATAGATTGGCCAATCTAGAACAATTGAAACAGCCGACGCCAGTAAACAAGTTGAACACTTGAAATTCAGCAAAACATATATATCGCCAATGAATGAGGTTGGAAAAGTCTGAACCAGGTTATTAGATTTCGTGATTGTAGACAAAATTTTGACACAAGCAAAACGAAGTTCTTTTTCGATTTTTGTTTTTCACATTGATATTGTGAAGTTGAAACAAAAAAATTGCTTTGTTCAACAAAAATACTATATGTATATAAATAGTAAAGGATATTCTATGTAGCCTACTTATCCATGCTGAGCAAAATTTGTTAATACAGGCAAATACACCAGATTAGTTAGCCTTAGAATAACTAAGCTTGTTAGATACCTTATCGTAATTCAAAATTATCTAAGTACGTACTTACTTACGTAATTTATTACTTAAATTAATTGAGTAATTTAATCAAAATTGAAAGAACGTTATATATGGATGGGCGATCAAAAAAATTCCCTTGTGTATACCTTGTTTTGATGCTGATTCGGTACCATATGACGGATATTCAGACGAAATCTCTGTACAGAACTATATACAGAAAATTATTGCTTCAGTTTTAGGAAGATGTTTGATTAAAGATATGATATGGTAACCAATATGAGGTCCCGTGTTTCTATGAATTCCCATAACCACAACTTACTTACAAATAAACAATCTTGTTTTTATAAATACAAATTTTACATACCATTTCTCTAACAACGTCGTTACATTAATACTTTATATATATATATATCAGCAGAAATAGAAATAAAATCAGCAATTGTGTAAATACCACAAACACCATGTTTGTGTTTTTGGCAACATTAATGATCGCTTCTTCCTTTGGAGGGGAAATAAAACACGAATTGGATACATCAGAAATGCAGGATGTTTCTCTACAGTCTGAATGTCAAGCTATCGAGGAATTGCATGAAAGGTATATATTTATATACATATATATATAACAAACGTAGCGTTTTAACCGAAGCTTCATTTTTTATTTACAAAATACCTTCAGTATGATATATGATGATATATAGCAGTAACAATGTGGCACCGAACGTTTTCATTTACCAATAAACAATTTGTATTTAGAAAACAGTGCGAATTCGTTTTTGAAAATGACTACATAAAATGGTCAGAGAAGATGCTTGCTGATGATAAATTTGTTAGTGAGTTGGAGGTTGTTCACACTACGGTTTTTGACGTAAGAAACAGCAAAATATCAAGAAGAAAACGGTCTGTTAAAGATGAACGAAACACCTGCCCGATATTGGATGTGTCAAACCCTGCCTATACCCCAATACGGCTGCGCAGCACTTCACCTTGGGAAATGTATATTACTCAAGATGCTAATAGGTATGTAGACTGTAACATTGTTACAGCAACCTAACGTATAACCAGCTAGCCATTTCATTCACACTTCGTACTTTGAATAACAAACACGGATTCCAATTCATCACATGGATCTCTCTTGTTGCCGTTTGCTTACCAACCATTTTATTTTGGATTAACTATATTATAAAACTGGGTGCTCCAGAAGTATGCGCATCAAGGTAGGATAAAAGTGGCATTTAATTGAAAAAAAAAAAGTTTTTTTACGCCAGAACCGGGGTTCCGATGGTACCGCTGGTTAAATAGGCTTTATAGGTACAGTATAATTATTATAATTAATCGTATTATTATTTTCTTTCTGACCCATTTTAAAATCAACAAAATTCTGCTTCATTTTAAATAGAAAACCAATGAGGATGATTCAAGCTAGGTGTCTCTGCAGTGGATGCATCGATGTTCGCACAAATACGGAAGACAGAACGAATGTTTTTAGTGAAGCGCTAGTTTTAAGTGTGCCCGTGTTAAAAAATGGAAAAATGATGACAGAAGAGGTGGCAATTGGCTGCACATGCGTGGCATCTAGTAGTCTACCCATAGGAAACCTAGAAGAAAAGTAAGTCATGAAAACTTCGACGAGCGCAGAGGGTTATATATATACATATACCCTTAGCTTAGAGGATTTCAATTTTTCCAATCCTTTTCCTTCATGTTCAATTCGCCTTTGTAGATAACAAATAAAATTATAATCATTGCATGTGAAATATGAGTATTGATTTGCACATATGAAGTGGCAGATTGGATCATAAACTTTTGCTGCCGAGTTCTAGAAAAATACTGTAGACGCCTAGAACCACACGCGCTGGAGATGTAACTGGTGTGCAAAGTAGAGGTAAGATCGGGTACAAAAATTTGAGCCCGGCCCGACCCTGGTCCGTGGGTATTAAACCCGACTCGAGTCCGACTAATTAACTGGCCCGACTAATTTGCAGGCCTGCGCCCGAAGCAAACCCGAAATTCCATATTTTATTTAGGGAGTTCATTGAATTGTCATTGCAAGAGTCCAGTACAGTATGTGTCGTGTTAAAGAGCCAACTTCTGTTTTTTTGCAGACCCCGGCTTTTTGTAGCCAAAACACGATCGAAACGCCTCATAAAAAAGTCAGCGATAGAGAAGCCCGATCCGAACGTATTGATTGACATTTAAGGCCCGAATTTCGGGTCGGGTCAGGCTTCAGTTCTTAGCTCCAGTGCAAAGTACATAACTCTTGATGTCAAGCCGAGGTATATTTCTCAATATTGCCAATTGATTATAGTTCGCCATTGTACGCGACCATTGAATTGGCCCATAAATCAGCCTTGAGCGTCCTACTATTGCCATTCTTAACTTGAAATAAGAATATAGAGGCGACGGTTATGATCATGCAACACAATGAATATAAACACAAGTAATTACTTATCGATCTTAAGATCGGTAAGTATGTTGATAGGTAGTTGTCTGTTTGTCTGTCTGTTAGATACACGCGATATTTCACGAAAGCGAGGTTGAATCTGCTTCAAATTTTGCATGTGCATTCATCATATCTCGGATCAGAAGCCTATTGATTTTGGATGAATTACGTCGTATAATTAGCGAGTTATTAATTAGTTAGTGATGGGACACACGGTGTCACTACGGAGTAAGAGCGCATGAATCGAAACCGCAGTTTCTGTTTTAGGGGTCCCCTAACTTTTGATCGATAAGTCTTCGGTCTCCGACCGATATTCTCGTTTATTTATCATTTGCTCTCGCATACAAAATAGCATTATGAATTTTCAAAGTAGGCCCTAGTTTAATTTTTAAAACCTTAAAAATGTCATTTTGAGTTAAAAGCAAAAATGCTTCTCCGTCTATTTCTTCATTTAAAAACATTTTCCCATACTTTTCGTGTCCGGTTAATTCTTGCACGAATTTTGCGACGTCGGCTGATGACCATTTAGTGATTATTGACGCCCTTACGCCTTTCATACCTAGAATATGATGGAAAGATTGATATGATCAGAATAATAGAGTGTTTAGTCCTCTGGATTCGTCCGGAATCAAAAGCTGAGTTTACAATTTCGAACTCATTAAAATACGAATCCAATCAAAAGAAAAGATTGCAAACTCAAATTTTGCGTTATCAAAATCCTGTTATTTTCTGTTGAATTCAGGCATGACAACATCGACAAATTTATTTGAATTTGAAGTTGGAAGCCGTAGCGCACTGGTTCTCAAACGGTGGGCCGCGCTCCACAAGGGGGGCGTAGACAATTTTTTGAGGGGGGTGAAGCTAATTAAAAATAAAATTAATTGTTAGATTTGATCTTGCCCGCCTTATTTTAAATATTTACATTTTCAAAATTCTCATTTATTTCATCCACGTATTTTCAACATGTTTTTGGAATAAAACATACTTTCGCCTTAGTATCTGTTATTTGTAGCTTATTGCTAGCTAGTTATTTTCGATGTGGGGCCCAAAACTTGACAAATTATAAAAAAGGGGGCGGGGCTTAAAAGTTTGAGAACCACGGGCGTAGTCGATCTTGACTGCCAACTCCAGATTGAAAAAAACTTTCACTCGGCTACGGTTCCGTTATAAGAACTGCGACAAATTTCGACTCCTATATGAGAAAAAAACGGTACTCCCGAAGTATGTGAACCAAGATGGCGGACACCGAAACGTAGTATGTGTACCAGGTTAGGGTTAGGCCATAACTTTATTCCAATTTTCCTTATTTTAAATCTTTTACGAGTTCTTTCACGAGTTCGGGGACTAGCCAAGTGACTCTCGTAATATCTGTACCTGAAATTATGGCCTAACCCTAACCTGGTATACATACTACCTACGTTCTGGTGTCCGACATCTTGGTTCACATACTTCGGGAGTACCGAGAAAACTCCTGGATGCATCATTTTCCTATTCCTTTACGTCAATTATAACAATGCTCTAACCTGGTAACATACTTTTACAGTGTTCCCAGTATATAGCAAGATGTCTGTTAGGCATTGTAGACCACATTGTTGAACTATACAAGGAGTAATATAGATTTCGTCCTTCGATCTTTGAGATTTCTAAAAATCCACCAATTTCTTGACTTTATTTTTGAGTTGAAAACGTAAAAACGGTAAATCACCAATCGTCAACAGAACTCTGATCTTTATTGTTTTTCAATTATAATTATGCCAATGTTTGGGAGCCCTCATAGGGGTGAAAACTCGAAAATAAAGATTACATGAAGGTATAATTAGGAACAAAACATCGTCAAAAAGAAATACCTTTCGATTTTTCCTCCACATGCCTTCGCTTCTCAGGCGGTTCCACGTCTTTACAAAAATCATCTTTTCCTGCGTCTTCTGATCCATTTTCACGTTTAAACTCTAAATAAAAAATAGAAATTTTTTTTTAATAAATAACCAAATTAGAGACAAATGATGCCGACAAATTAAATGTTCTATAATCTAGGTAGTGTTATAAACACGAAGTTACGGATAACGGCCAATAGGACTTATAACCGTTGACCGCAGAATTATCGGTTAACCGGTTATATCACTTTTAATGAAATAAATTCAGTACCTGAGACAGAGTTCCTTGATTGTCTTCTCAAATTGACATTTCGTTTTTTTTCTCCTTCGATCGAACTGAAATTTTAATACAATTTTTTCTTATCCAAAATCGATAGTTTGGATAGTAAAATCGTAACATACGTTTAGGTGATTTTAATTTTCTTACTTGGATTTATGACTTTTATCAATAGGTGGATTTAAAATTCTTCTACTCATTAATGATGATGGTTTAGGCCCTCTGCGGGGTTGAATTCTGTCCTGAAATATGAAAAGCATTTTCAGTTTCAATGAGATTATCGGAAGAAGGAAACATTTATACTGAGAAAACGGTCCGCTAACTGATTCAAAATAGAAAACTCGTGGGTGAAACCTACCTGTATTGGATAGCTGTCCAAGTTCTTTGCCGAGTATGGACATCCGTATTCACTATGATGACCTACGAACTTTGAACCCTTGATGTGTCCAAGACCGCCACAGCCTGGGATAGGACATCCACTTTGCCTAAAAAAGTTATTATCCATTATAGTATTTTGTAAAAATTTAGATCGTTTAGTATAATGAGATATATCTTACCAAGGCTGTTTTTCAGTTCCATTTATATTGGGCTGCAAAGAATGTCCGGTGTGAGCGCACCAACCAGCTGGGTGCAAATCCGGACTGTCCACATCTATCCAGTAGTCGTACATTTTATCCCAGCCGTCGAAGTGAACCTTAAAATAATGTTATGGTTTTAAAATGACACCTTTGGGTATTTTTTGTTATATTACTCAAATGCAGATATTTCATACCAAACGAAACTGGCATCAATCGAATTTCCGAATAAGTTTATTAATAAGTAATTCAAATAATCTAAATTGCTATTTTTTGTAAAATTCACTATTTTTCGAAATAAAATTTCATTCTGGAAAATTTGTAAATATATAGTTGGCTATATACTCACTACTGAGGGACTTCATCTTTTTTAGAATATTAGAAATCAAAACTGTATTTTAGAATACATAATATTCGGATTTAAACATACCGAATTCTGTATAAAAAATACTCGGATGTAGACATTCCTAGACAATATGTGAGAAAAAAAATTGAGTTTGCATTATCAGCCAGAAATTCCAGTTAATGCAAAAAAGTAAAGGAAATAACGTATCTGTAGTAGCCTACCTTAATTTGGAACTCATTTGTATCTGAAACACTGGCAACTCTGATTAATATTGGATTTCTTTTGTCAACAACTTCAAGTCTCATTCCTGAAAGTTAAATAATAAACAATAAAGCATCACAGAAGTAATAAGGACGTGTATGTTCTAAGGACGTGATGTGATCATAAGTGTTTGACAAATTGACAGATTGTTTTCATGAGTTCTTTTCAATAAGGTCTGATGAAAAAGTTTGGGCACTCGAACGTTTTGTTATATGAAACCACAAACGTACTGAAGAAGGGTGTAACCAAATTAAATATGACATGAAGCATATCCTTCAAGTATTCTTTTGTACGTTTTATATCAAATCCGTGTACGGCACTGATTGAATTTTAATATAATGCAATACATTTATGATGAGTAAAGAGTAAATACCGTTTTTAAGTCCATGAGATGTTCTCCGTTGGAAAGTTTTCTCAGGAGCAGCCTTAGAATCTGTTTGTTTCAAATACTCTTCCCAGGAAAAAGGTACACCAGAACGTTCAAAATCTAAATGTGTAAGAAACTTTAACATAATAAACCGCCATAGGATGACATTGGGAAATATGAGAATTCTGTCAAAATTATACAGACAAATAACTATTCTTGGAAAGTAGTGCCAAACGCTTCGAATTTGCAACAATATTCAACACCGCACTGATTAAAAAAAATTCACACAAGTTATTTACAATATCCGATTCCCAAGTAGCAAAATATCATCATATATTTAAAATATTTTGCAACGATTGACCAAGCAGAACGCCCAGTTACTAGAAAGACATTTTCGATCCTTACACAATTTCCAGCAACGCCAAGGAGAGTTTATGGCAAATTACTTTGGAATGGTAACGTAATAATAAGTCGTAATTTTCTACTATTACGTGTCAAATGTGGAAACGTTAAATTCATGCTGAGCGTTTAGCGCCATCAGCGGTAAATTGGGTAATCGGCGAACCACAATTCCCATGCCCAATCCTGAGTAATGAATTAGCATATAGGCTATCCGCGAGATGGCGACGTAATTTCAACTTTTCATGATTCTCTTACCTTGTGGTACTTGGAGCGTTTTTCCAACTTTTGCGCACCATCCAATTGGATGAATATAGTTAGAAGTGCTGTCACACCAATAGTCAAAATTATTGTTCCATCCATCAAAATGTATCAATATTAATTCGCCTATAGCGTCAGTGACCGTGGCAACACAAGTTAATTCCGGGTTTTGCTTGTCAATAGCTTCCATTTTTTGTCCAATCTCGAATTTTGTGTTGTTTTCGCATATTTTCTGAATAAGGAAATATTCAAATATAACCAAACAAGGCTATATATGATATTTACTAACTGATAATAAGCGTTAACTAACATTTAAATCGCGGTGAAACTTTTCTTCTTCTGCTATCATTTTTTTCGTCGAATGTGCGTACGTCTTCCAATCAAATCTAGAGGCATCATATTCTGCAGAGATAAACTCAGAGTTGAACAAGTGCAGATAATAGTACTACCAATTGTTTGAAGCTAAATATTAAAAAATTCGTCAATTCCCGATTTCTTCAATGTAAGTCGTATATAGAACTAATCATGAAATTCAAGTTATTATATCGCGTCTTTTCAAAAAAATTGGACACTAGCACCTGCTGCTCATTTTTTTAAACTCAAAATTTTTTTTTACATTATAGAGTGCTTTTTTTAATTTGGTTCTGGAAGACCAGCATACTATAAAGTAGAAATGTCAACGATACCTTTCGGTGGGTGTAAAGCACGACCAGTTTTTTTGCAAAATCCACAAGGAAAAATGTATTTATCGTCTGAATTCACCCAAAAGTCATGTAGAGTGGAATAACCCTCAAAATGAAGTCGCATTCTATTACCTTTGACCTGTGGTACATTAAAATAAATAGTATTCGTACTACGAAGTTTACAGCAAAGAATATCTACAATTTAATCATATTTTTCCGGTAATATTATGCGATATTTATTTTTCCGGTAATATTATGCAATATTTTTCAAAAAAGTCTAAAAAAAAAAAATTTCTGAAATTCTAGATTATGTGTTTGTTGCATCGATTTTTCAAAATTGTCAAAAAAACCAAGCAAAGCAAAATATGAAGCAAAAGTTTTAACGAATAAGGTAAAAAGCATAAAAATTATTTCAAATTCTAATATTTTACCCAATATAACGCAAGACTTCAACTGATTGACAAATACAGTATTTTAAAATTTGGCGTCGATCACAAGCAAAAAACAATTGGTTATTTTAACTTGAAAATCGGGGCAATTGACTTCATGGAATATTTATTGTATCATTTATATAAATTTTAGTTCAAATTCTATATATACAAATATTTGATTTCGAATAAATATTTATATGTCTATTGAAAAACATGCAATAACAACCATATTTCGTCAAACAACTCATAAAACAGTCGTCTCACCTCGACCACGGAAACTGCACAAATCAAGGAACAGTGAAGAGGGTCAACGCTTTCCAATAGATCTCCGACAACGAACTTGTTTGAAGGAGGAAATGGCTGAAAATAACAAGTATATTTATACATTGAATATTTTTTTAACATTCAAATATTATATAAATGAAAATCAAACATGTGAAAATACTTACATCTGTATTGGTGATGTCTCTAAAAACGATTTCAGGGGCCGCTATTGCGTTGTTTTCTTTTAAATACTTTTCCCAAGAAAAGATTTCCTGCAAAACAAATTAAATGGATGTTGATTAGCCAATGTTACGGAAGTAAATAAGGAAATCCATACGTTTGACGTTCATTGAATATAAACTCGAAGAGAACTGAATCAATGAAAATCTATAATGCATTTGAATTAAATTACCTCTTGTTTTTGCAAGTTCGAATCTTTCCTTTCCGATTTGATAACGTCTTCATCCTTTACCGATTGAAACTGAATGAGAAATCGTATAAACATAATTAAAAGGTGCTTTCACATGATTTAACCTTTAAAGGAAACTCACAATGAATATAAATACTATGTCATAAAACTCACCTGGTCAATGCCGTTAACATCGTTTCTAAAAATAACAATATTTCGGTCAAGTTTTTTCAAATATACTTAAACTACACCAATGTTATGCTTCGCACTTAATATAATAATTAGTCCCTGGTGATAAGCTTTTTATCAGGACAACTAAGTCATGAATTCTGTGATTGAAACATTTAGATAGGCTACTCCGAAACAAAAAGCCTACATTCCTTCGAATCCACGTAGATCTCTATGTCTAACTCTAATCTATTCCTTATATAAAGACACAAATGATGAAGCTTCTGTATTCCAATCTGTAAAACTAATACTCAAACAACATACTCTGAAATATCGCAAATTCAATAGATTAGTTTGAACAGTGTACATAAAAGATACTCACAAAGGCATTTCTTGGAAATCTGTCTGTCGAAATCCTCCGTCATTCACTCCTTGGTAAGTCGCAAACGAGGTGTGTCCTATTGGTGGTATGAGTTGATCTAAAGGTAATGGAAGAACCACAAGACAACGGCATTAACTCAAAAAGAATGTAAATACAATAATCCGTGATAATAGACTAGTAATTCCGTTCACTATATATTAACTGCATTTGTCTAGATAGCTGCGGAGGCAAATTCCAAGTTTCGAAATTTTGCTTTTCGAACTTTACTATATATACAGGTTAAAATATTTATCACAGATTACGAAAAAATAGCACATTGAATCTTCCAGAAACTACAACTAGTCACATTGAAATTCTGCATGTTCTAATTTGAAAATATTAAGTTAAGTGATTCAAGAGTCTTGCTGCAGAATGTGATTTTCCAGCGTTTTGTTTGGCCAAGTCAGGCTTCCTTCAAACAAACATAATGCAACGAACCTCTCGGATAGTTGTTCATCATTCCATTCACATTTAAGTTCCTGTTTTCGAAATTGTTCGACATATTTTCTGTTCCGTAATTCATCTGAAAATTTGTATAAATAAAAACATAACAAGCATTGACAAGACAACTTTATAATCACTCTACCAGTTACCCATCTAAAAAAGTATAATCACTAACGAAAAACTGCTTCACTGACTAGAAAAATAACAATGCATATAAAGTTACCAATAATGATGGGTCTGTCGTGGAAACTTCTGCTTGAGGACTGTACAAGTCAGCCATTCCTTCCATAATTAGTTCGATCTCTCCAATTTCGTTTCTACGAAACTATAGAAAGGATAAAAACAGGATAATCAATAATGAAATTTTAAAACTGCACGCATGAACGTATAAGTATATACAATTTGGTCATTATTGGCTTTATGAAAAGAATAGATCAACAATCCTGGCTAGTGTGGAATTCCCCAAACGATAGTTGCTGGGAAATAGGAGGGCATTTTTCATATTTGTGCTGAGTTAGGGAAATGAATATTTTACAATAAAGTACTTCCTTGTCTATTTCTGTACCAATGACAATGCCGTCACAATTGAATATTTAGCAGTTGCTCAGGCACTGTTATGAGCATGGAATTGAGCACGGAATCGTTTTTGTAATTGGGTTCATACAGGCTTCAAAAATATCAGTATAAATCCGATAATTTAATATTATTTTGTCTCCAGACTAAGATTTTAAATAAGATTGTAGTTACTTCTGGGACAAATTCATGATTTTCAAGATATAAATCAGTTATTACACGATAAATAGCTTAATTAGTTTTAAAATAAACATCAAAAATTGGGTATAAAGATTCAGATAGGGCTTCCCCAATGCGAAACACATAGCGCGGGTATCAGTCGGGGCTGAGGTTTCGTGAAGGAAAACGAATTCCTCTTTACATTTTATTACCTTTTAAATAAGTACATAATCATGATTTAAGTAACTTTAATTTACAAGTTTTGCTTGTAACCTGCTTGTAACACCTTGACCTGTAAATGATAATAATTCATAATGGGCCTATGGAAGTACGGGCCCATTAGACCGGATATGCAGTGGCCAGCAGTGAACTAAATACGGTATAGTCGAGTCAAGCAGAATACCCATTGCCGTGAAACATGCGGGTAAGATAGGATTCACTCCTCAACTTGTGCGGTTATGAAAGAAACGGCGGTTTGTTCATAAAGGTAATTTTAAACTAGTCATAATCAAAGTTCTTAAATTCATCGTACATTAAACCAAATTTAGATATAGAGGTATTTACTTAGTTTTTCGACGGTAGTATTTTCTAAAGCGTGATTGTAATCGGGGTTTAGTATAGTAGAACACCAAAAATGTAGCTGCAAAAATAAATGAACTTGACTATGTGGCAACAACAAATGAGGATAGATTAACTCACTTTGAGTTCACTTCCCGGCAGACTTCCGATCCCGTTTTCCCAGACTAACCCGGAAAAGTTATCCTCATTATTCTGAAAGCTGTAGTTTTCTGCCATAGCGCCGTTGTTTAGAAACTAAAACGAATTGTCCTCAGTTTTAAATACATGTAGCCTTGTTACAGGGCTATGCTAGGTATTTACTGATTACGACAACCGGTACGGAGACAATCAACACATTTTTCTTGATTATACTATTTTGATTGGAATTCCATCTGAATATCTATTAGCAGGTATTGTTTGCGATTTAGTGTCACCTTGTTTCCAACTACTGTTATGGAATGACCAACATCAACCTACCTTTGTAGTATTGTAGTTTGTCGACATATCAACATTCTCCGATGTGTACATTGGTCTGTGCATACCGATTTATGCGAGCATTGATGGCCTGTAATATATCACCCAGTACAAGACTATAATATACATTAACGCTGAGGAAAAAATAAATTGTAAAATAGTCTGCACAGCACAACAGCTCTCTGTCCTCATCCGTAAACCTGATAATAGTGACGTCATAGTCTTCCAAATCACAATGTGATTTTCTAGTGTGTCAATCAACAACAGAAATCCTATGGTATATATATACAGTGCCACTACCGGTACTACTCTTTCCTATATTCACAAGTTTCTAATTCAGAATATTTTTGTGCACTTTCCACCAAACTTATTTATCAACCAATATCTGCTTACAATGAAAACGCTACAGAAGCTGACTCAGGTTTATTATAAAACTAGGTCTACTCTTCCACTCCAGTATTCGACCAACGCTTCTTGTACAGCTGTCTAGAAACACGAAAATGCTAAAACAATTACGCGAAGTAATTTCTACTCAATTATTACTGTATTAATGCTTTGTTGTATGTTGTGGAAGATCAGAACTAAAATTCACGACGGCGGCCAGAATTGTACGTTGCACAAACCAAATACTGAAAATGGGAACACTGTCGTAGCAACCGATCAAATTGCTAGAACTAGCTTTCCAGAATAGTTTATTTAGTTGCGAAGCAGTTTAGTAAACTATTATATTGCTCGACAAAATAACAGTAATTTCCGTTTCTTTATTAAAAGCACAACAAAGCTGTACACAGTATTTGCATGCAATTATTTATTTATGTTAATAAATATAAAATCAGATTGGATGATTCAAATTTGGTTGCGCCATAATAGTCGTCATTATTGATCAATAAAAATCGCCGATTTCGCCGAAAACCATAGGATATTTTTTAAATGAGCACTGCTCAGTTACTCACTGCTCACTGCCCACCGCGTTAAATGAGTGAGTTAAAAAGCTTGTTTTATGAGATAAAGCGTTGTTATTTCCCAGATATATATTACTGCAGCAGAAATACTGCTATTTTCCCCCAAATCCCTGCCGACCCACATCCACAGAAAACGTTTCCTATATCGTCAAAATTCTTATGCTAATACCAAGCATTGAAAGAAATGGGCCTTATGGTAGAGTGGTTTGAATTATGTTTTTTTCTTGGAAAGAAGAATACAAAGTATGTCTGACATCTCACAGTTCTACGTGAGTTTATTTGTTCGCATTTTTACTAAGTTTGCTTTTACGTGGATTCGAAGAACACTACAAGTAGTACAATATAGTAGTACATGTACACAAAACTAATCGCCGAACAAATGCATGAGCTACAAAATGAAAGCGGATAATGTTTCAGAGATCAACTCTTCAATATTTTGAGACAAGTTGCGAGGAAGATTTTATTATGACCGTTCACCAGAACCGCATTACCAGCGATAATGATTAACCAATTTATCATAGTTAAACACAAAAGTATCGTTTGAATAATTCAAGGGACAGGGTTTGAAGTTTACTTTTATGAAATTTTTATTTCAATTCCGCAAATGGTCAAACCGTTCTAGTATAAATATGCCGTATCCGAGGAACGATCCTTCTATAATTAGTGCTTGACAAATTATCATGAAAATAATTACGAAAACGGCGATGCAAATTTGGTGTGGCTTCTGGGTCGTTATTACAAACTAAAATATTTAAAAAAAAAATTTAAAACCATTTACATTACTGCACTCTTCTACGGCATCATGTGGTTTGAATGCAGAAGAAAACAAAAAGCTATTTTAATACGCTATTAATTTAGCGCAATGCAAATCAAAAGATTATCAGATTCGGTTGAACAACGGTAATACAACAAATTGATTGATGACTTGATATTATAACGTAACTTGTTCAGAATGAGAAATTTAATAAATTCACCAGTAGTAAAAAAGAGATAGCAAACAGTATAATAAACGATGATGTGTTCTAACTCTTGCTCATGCAAACACGTACAATACGTATTACACACGTAATCTATCATACTTATTTGCCCTCTCTTACACGATAAATGTATAATTTTCGTTCTCATTGCTCACGAAATTAATATTTATTTTTGTCTGTAGTGAACGTCTCCATCAACTGATGCCAAAAGGCATATGTAATTGAGATCCAGTCTAGTCTCATTATTGTAACTAGTTTCAATTTTTATTTTATTGCGATCTTGTTCCTATCAGTCCGTATTACGAATCCGTGAACCGTGATATTCTCTTCCTATTTACTGGTAATCTATTGGGAATAAGAATTTAATGACGAACAGTAAATATATACATATGTAGAAAACAACTTATGAAATATTCTATTAAGATATAAGGAAAACGACAGCTGCTTATATGAAAATTGAAATATGAAATTTTTTTATATATACTTCCTCAATCATTGAAAACATTGCATCGACGAATTCAAGTAAATTCTTCAAAATGTCAAACAAATTATTAAAATAATATAATATAACTTCAAATAATATATTCATTTATTATAATTTCAACTCCTCGTATGTACATTTATCATACACTAAATCAAATTCAAGCTACACAACTGAAAAACCATATAAAAAGTGGCGTCATGATGACTTCCGCGTTTTAAACGTTCTTAACAATATAAAGCGTTGTATACACTTCGACGCCGTTACAGCATAGATGAAAATCAATTCTCAAACGCGCAAGAGTGCAGTTGAAAACAGTTCTCATACATCAGTACTACAAACTAAAGTCATGCTGCGTTTTCTTTTCTTACATTTCATTAACTGCCAGGTTGTCCCTCATTTTTCATTTCAACTTAACAGAAGTAAAGAAAGCGATCCATCTGTTTCAGTTAGCTAAAGAATTTCATATAAAACTTGTTATATTAAAATAGGTAGGCAAGCAGACAGAATTATTTAGGAGTGACTTCAGCATAACGATATTGCTCTTTAGTGTTTCTATCCACGCGCACACACACGCGCTTTTGAGAGAATAAAAGAGACAAAAACTCGGTAGGAAGTGAGATGTAAAACGAGAGACGTTGTGAAAATATTGTAAAACGCAATCCGTTTCAGAGCTCAGAATTGATTTTTAATACATTTGAGCGTTGAAAATAAGAAAACGATTAAAAAACAAAAGAGAACACGAAACTAAATATCATAACAAAGTGTGATATCGTAAACATGTACGTATTTTCAAAAATGTTTCAGGAAAATGAATAGAAAATTGATTATTTCGTTCTAAACAATGCATCTATGGAATGTCTACCAATATAATTGGACTTGCGTCACTTTGCTATTTGAAATCAACTGTAATATCCCTGCAATGAAGCATATGTCCGCATTGACCTATATGATATTACACCACCAAAATTGCTATAAAAATGAATGATGGCCATCTAAGGCTGAAACGCAAGCGCGGGTTCTCCACATACATACCTTTTCATGTATGATAATACGGCTACTCTTCAATACACTTGTCGACATGGCAGAGTTGGTTTACCAAGAATAGTTAATGAGTTACAGGCAATGTTGGCCCTGCTATAAAAGTATCTACTCGCTTTCAAATACCTTGGTGTATCTTGTAACACGGTACACAAGTAATAAGAGCTGACTGTATTCAATGCTCTAGATTTAAGAACACTTTTTGGCTTTATACAATTTGCACGAGTCTTCAACTTAAATATTTGTCATTTATTAATGTTTGATGAAGTTTTAAAGCTTTACCTGTGTTTTATTTCTTATTTTTAGTCCATGTTAATTTTTATTCGCAGGTATAAACTACATAAAAGCACACACAGCCTATCGCACATCTGCTGGAAAAACTTATGAAATTTATGCAGTCAAGGTTATGTCTGAACAACATAAGAATATGAGATTATGAATAATTACAAGCTATCTTTCTGTACGAAATCTATTTAAACTTTTAGTGCAATTTCCATGAGAAAAATCAACAGATATGAATATGATTTAAAAATATTAGATTACAATATGTTTATCTTGTGAACCATTACGTTATAACCGTTGATTCAAATTTTTCATTTGCCAAAGTATAATATCAAAAATTTGAATACTGTATCTCACTTTAAAAAATAACAAGCTTCATGAAATAAAACAGAAAAGTAAACACGTACTTTATTCAACATACAATGCGCTCGCAACCGTGAATAAGTATTTCTAAACCTATTAAAAAGTCATTTACCAACGTGCGAATAATGTTTTCTTTGGTAACAATATGAAAATTTCTTTTGCCCTCAGTGGTACATTTACTCGAGACAATATAACAAAGAGTGTTTATGAACGTTTTTAAAAGCAGCAATTGTGAGACATCCATTCTTTGTTTTCCTTTGGTATGTTGTGTCTAAATAACAAAGTTTGTGTCATACAGCTATGCTTTGAATACACAAAGTACGAGGGTAATATCAAGCCTCTCTTACATGGTTGTTATTTGTGTTCCCGAAAGTGCTGATATGTGGGAATATAATTTACAATATAGTCGTTTCGCTATATAATTATTAAAAATCACATCGCGGAAATTTAAAATATAATTATTTTGCAATTATGTATAATGTGTATTAATAAATAATCCATCAGTGCTTCTATAATAATCAATTCTTTATATATATTTTGGCTGTGTGACATAGAGTTTTTTGAACGTTTAGAATATGATTAATATCATTTTCCAACCAAACTCGTTTTCTTCTAAAGTGTACGAAAGTTTGAGAAAATTCACAAGAAAGAACCTCAATAAAAAATAAAAGAGTAGACCATGAAATATTTGATATATTTATTTATTCTAAAAAATAACGTTCGCTATTAACAAATAAAATTTTTTGCTGTTTTCAAATTGGAATAGAGTTAATATATATAAAAACTTTTATATTGCAGTGCGTTTCAGAAATCTTGAAACGGAGGTTTCGCACAACTTGCTATTTATATATATTATTTATATATACCAAGGCTCTTTCTTGAAAAAAATATTAAAAGAGTACCTGTATTGCCAGTGTGTGGTTTGTGCGAGTGTGCATGAAAGAATAGCCATGTTCAAGCATAAAAGCAGTAGCCCATGTATGGTATTCATGTAAAGTAGGGAGGACCATTCGAACATGAAATTTAGCATTTATGGCAATGTCGCATTGAGCATACATTCTTTATACTGAATACGGAACTTCCAGAGTTTAACTCATTGA